CCCACCCCCTCGTGTACCGTTCCGGCCTTCATAGGTGCTCGCTAACAGCACTTGCCCCTACAGTCTGTTAAGGCTATATGGAGGATCTTTGTCTTTTGTGAGAGGGTGTGAGTGTGTGTGAGAGTGAGAGTGTGCGTTGGCCGAGTCATGTAGCCCGCATGCCCAGCCACCGCATGCCGAAACAGCTTTTGTTCGGCCGGATTGAGGGGGCTAAGCGGGCGCGGCACGGACTAGAGAAGAGATGGAGTGATGTGGTACAGGAGGACGTGGAGCTGAGTGGACTTGCCGATGACTGGTACCAGCGGTGTCAAGATCGGCCTCTGTGGAGGAGGCTCGTGAAGGACGCTACTGGGCAGTTGGAGGCAGTCGCCCTCCAACAACAACGGAGGGCGGAGGAGCGACGTTCAGAACAACGCGCGGAGCGCCGGGTGGCTAAAGCACAGCAGGTTGGCACAGTAGGGGGCACAGGTGGTGCATCAGCCAGTCATCTCAGTCAGTCGACCCGTGGCACCTGGGTCTGCCCCGTGACCTCCTGCCAGCGGGCGTTCGACACTTCACGTGGCCTCAGGGTGCACATAGCCTGGCACAAGCGTCGTGGTGATGTCACCGCCACTTAGTGGCGAATGGCGGTTGTTGTTGTTGTTGTGAGAGTGTGTGTGAGAGAGTATGTGAGTGTGTGTGTGAGAGTGTGTGTGAGAGTGTGTGAGAGAGAGGATGAGCGTGCGTGATGGGGCGGTTGTGGAGAGAGTGGAGTGTTTCCATTGTCTGGGCAGTGTGCTTTTGACTGCGGTTTGACAGCAGAGGTCTCACTCCGTAACAGTCGGACGGAAATGTCTTTTCATTGGCTGCGTAACGCTGTGTGGAAGCTACCCGGTCTGTTGCTCCACACGAAGCTGCGGGTCTTCTCGGTCAGTCATGACTTCCCTCCGCTATGCTTGTGAAACGGGGACCCCTCCAATGGAACATCTCCGCCGGTTATAAACATTTGGCCTGGCCTGCCGACGATCCATCCTCGATTTAACCAGGCTGGATTGTGTGAGGAGCTCACAAATCATTGAAAGATCTGGACGCAGTCCCATCAATGGGCTCCTCCGGCGGGCAAGGCTGCGTTGACCAGGTCATGTTGCCGATATGCTAAGCCAACGCGTGCCCAAAAAGCTTCCGTTTGGCCGGATAGAGGGGGCTTAAACGGGCACGGCACGGGCCGGAAAATAAATAGACTGACGCGGTACGGGGAAATGTGGAGCTGAGTGGACTCGCTGAAGACTGGTACTAGCGGTGTCAAGATCGGCCTCTATGGAGGAGGCTCGTGAAGGACGCTGCTACTGGGCAGTTGGAGGCAGTCGCCCTCCAGCAACAACGAAGGACAGAGGAGCGACGCTCACAACAACGAGCGGAGCGCTGGGCGGATAAAATGTAGGAAGTTGGCACAGTAGGGGGCACAGGTGATGCATCTTGGCAGTCATCTCAGTCAGTCAACCCTTGGCACCTGGGTCTGTACCTTGACCTGTCAGCGAGCTTTTGACACTTCACATTGCCTCGAAGTGCACCTAGCCTGGCACAGGCGCCCTGGTGACGTCACCCCACTTAGTGGCGAATGGCGGTTGTTGTTGTGTGCGTGAGAGATGGCGAGTGAGAGATGGTGAGTGTGAGTGAGAGATGGTGAGTGTGCGTGAGAGATGGTGAGTGTGAGTGAGAGATGGTGAGTGTGCGTGAGAGATGGTGAGTGAGAGATGGTGAGTGTGCGTGAGAGATGGTGAGTGTGCGTGAGAGATGGTGAGTGTGCGTGAGAGATGGTGAGCGTGCGTGGGAGATGGTGAGTGTGAGATGGTGAGTGTGCGTGAGAGATGGTGAGTGTGCGTGAGAGATGGTGAGTGAGAGATGGTGAGTGTGCGTGAGAGATGGTGAGTGTGCGTGAGAGATGGTGAGTGTGCGTGAGAGATGGTGAGCGTGCGTGGGAGATGGTGAGTGTGAGATGGTGAGTGTGCGTGAGAGATGGTGAGTGTGCGTGAGAGATGGTGAGTGTGCGTGGGAGATGGTGAGTGAGAGATGGTGAGTGTGCGTGAGAGATGGTGAGTGTGCGTGAGAGATGGTGAGTGTGCGTGAGAGATGGTGAGCGTGCGTGGGAGATGGTGAGTGAGAGATGGTGAGTGTGAGTGAGAGATGGTGAGTGTGCGTGAGAGATGGTGAGTGTGAGTGAGAAATGGTGAGTGTGCGTGAGAGATGGTGAGTATGCGTGAGAGATGGTGAGTGTGAGTGAGAGATGGTGAGTGTGCGTGAGAGATGGTGAGTGTGCGTGGGAGATGGTGAGTGAGAGATGGTGAGTGTGCGTGAGAGATGGTGAGCGTGCGTGAGAGATGGTGAGTGAGAGATGGTGAGTGTGCGTGAGAGATGGTGAGTGTGCGTGAGAGATGGTGAGTGAGAGATGGTGAGTGTGCGTGAGAGATGGTGAGTGTGCGTGAGAGATGGTGAGTGAGAGATGATGAGTGAGAGATGGTGAGCGTGCGTGAGAGATGGTGAGTGTGCGTGAGAGATGTGAGTGTGAGATGGTGAGTGTGCGTGAGAGATGGTGAGTGAGAGATGGTGAGTGAGAGATGGTGAGTGTGCGTGAGAGATGGTGAGTGTGCGTGAGAGATGGTGAGTGAGAGATGATGAGTGAGAGATGGTGTGCGTGAGAGATGGTGAGTGTGCGTGAGAGATGTGAGTGTGAGATGGTGAGTGTGCGTGAGAGATGGTGAGTGAGAGATGGTGAGTGAGAGATGGTGAGTGTGCGTGAGAGATGGTGAGTGTGCGTGAGAGATGGTGAGTGTGCGTGAGAGATGGTGATTGAGAGATGGTGAATGTGCGTGAGAGATGGTGAGTGTGCGTGAGAGATGGTGAGTGAGAGATGGTGAGTGAGAGATGGTGAGTGTGCGTGAGAGATGGTGATTGAGAGATGGTGAGTGTGCGTGAGAGATGGTGAGTGTCCGTGAGAGATGGTGAGTGAGAGATGGTGAGTGTGCGTGAGAGATGGTGAGTGTGCGTGAGAGATGGTGAGTGTGCGTGAGAGATGGTGATTGAGAGATGGTGAGTGTGCGTGAGAGATGGTGAGTGTGCGTGAGAGATGGTGAGTGTGCGTGAGAGATGGTGAGTGAGAGATGGTGAGTGAGAGATGGTGAGTGTGCGTGAGAGATTGTGAGTGAGAGATGGTGAGTGAGAGATGGTGAGTGTGCGTGAGAGATGGTGAGTGTGCGTGAGAGATGGTGAGTGAGAGATGGTGAGTGAGAGATGGTGAGTGTGCGTGAGAGATGGTGAGTGAGAGATGGTGAGTGTGCGTGAGAGATGGTGAGTGTGCGTGAGACAGGGTCTTTGTATTTAGAAGTCTCTGAATTAAATACTTTTTTTTCCCGCGCACGGACAGAGCTGGCGCGCATTTTATGAATTTATTGATTTTAGTGCAAAGTTCTGAGTCAAGGGCGGCTCCGTCTGCAGGGTGCAACGTACTTTAACAGCGATAACAAGAGATGAGCATGTTGTGCATTGGTGTTCCGTCATGCGTAACACGTGTGACATGCTGGACAGTGGTATTATGCAGTGTACCAGCAGGAACCGGTTGGACTTTCGCCGTAAAAGGATGGCGAATATGTACGTTTTATCAGTTGGTATCTTTGTTACTGAAATATTTGAATATTTCAGTATCTTAATGAATAAAACATGTTTTCAGTTATGTATTGTGGCATGAACAGCATTTGAACAAATACAATAATTTGTTTAAATATAATTTAAACAAATAAAATGTATTTGTATAATTGTTCAATCTTGACTTAAAGCTTTCGTGACTGCGGGAATTCATGTTCATTGGTTCTTTCGGTAAAGTCACGTAGATCGAAAAAATAATTAAAGAAATATCACGACGTTTCGATCGCAACGCAAGCAACCGTCATCAGGTGAAAACATAACGGGAGTGCTGCTGAGGCAGGATGTTGTAAATATTTGAGATGGGTATAGCCCAAGGGTCATAAGCGAAGTGGGCGGGGCTAGTGATGGAATTTGCATGTCAATGTAAGATCGGGTAAATCGGAGAGATTAGCATGTCAATGTAAGGGGGACTGTGTGCAGTGTTGTCTTGGTGCGGTCTGGGGACTGTTTTTGCTGTTGTTTTACTGCCTTTCGCAAGTTCGGGAAGTGATGACGCAATTCAAACTAATATACTTGATTTGTTTAAGTGGCAGCCGCGGTGGTGAGATGTTATTTTCCTCGCCAGGTATGCAGGAGATTCGGGGGTTCGATCCCGACCTTGACACCTGCTGTATATTTGCAGTTTATCCCCGTGGTCGCATTTGATTTTTTTTTTCCCCCGGGCCCTCCGGATTTTTTCCCTCCACATTTAGAAACATGCATTGAGATTAATGAGATTGTTTAGATTCGTTTGCTGCTGCAAATTTCCGCACAAGCCACTTTGTTGAGGTATCATTTGTGGCCAGGTCGCTTCTGAAACAATAAGTGAATACCTCAGTGGGCTTTGCCTGATAGGATGGGGATGGTTTAGTTGTTGTATTTGTATGTTTATAGGTGAATTGTTTAACTTTCTTCTACTTTGCACGACTATCGTGTTTTCATTCTGTTTGTTGTTGTAACGTTCTTACCCCATGCCCCTACTTGGACGTCTGTCAAAAAGAGCTTCATGGCTCATCGGATTCCTCCTGCAGTATAAATAAATATTCTGATTCGGTCTGTCCCCATGTGTAACAAAGGCGGCCGCGTGTGGTCCTGGCCTCACGCCGTTCCGGATTTAATATGCGCTCGCTCGCTCGCACCCCTCGGGCCGACAGCTGCACGGGGGATCTTTGTCTTATTCTGCATACCGACAGTATTGCGTAAATGTGCCGGTGTGTATGTATATATCTCAGCATGTGCACGTTGCATATCTTTGCCTGTGTGTGCCTGTCTGTCTGCTGGTCTCCCACCCCCCCGTGCGGCCGAAGTCAACGGGCCCACTCCCCACCAGCCCCCCCCGCCCCGCCCCCCCGGACTCACGAGTCCCTGCACCCCCTCCCCCTGCTCCACCCCTGAGTTCCGCGGGACACCAGAACGGTCAGGCGTGGCCATGGCGTGCAGCCAGCTGTCCGTGCAGCTCATGTCGTGGGCCCTCGGGGTCGGAGGAGTGGCCTACCTGTTCCACCAGCAGCGCCACCACACGCAGTACGGACGCTACCAGGCGGCGGGGACGGCGTTGCCGGCGCGCCTCGCGTGGTTCCTGCAGGAGCTGCCGTCTTTCCTCGTGCCCGTGCTGCTCCTGCTGGGCGCCGGCGGGGCGGACACCCTGCCCCTGCCCAACGCGCTGCTTCTTCTCATGTTCTGCGGCCACTACTTCCAGAGGTGGGGCGGCATTGAGCTGGGTGCACGTGGGCAGCTTTCACAGCTAGACCCTCAGCCCTCCCCCCCCCACCCTCCTTGGGCCTACTCTTCCCTTGGACCGCTCGTGAATTTGACCCGGCCGGACCCCTCACCTTAGCCCCCCCCCCCCGCCCCCCCACACGCCCCGCAGGACATTCGTGTTCTCGCTGCTGAGTAACGGGAGGCCCACGCCACTCGTCATCGTGGCCTACGCCTTCGCCTTCTGCTCCTACAACGGCTTCCTGCAGGGTCACCAGCTCCTGCACTGCGTGGCATACCCGCCCTGGTGGCACCGCGATCCTAGGTTCATCGCAGGTAGGAAGGGGACTCCATGGCCAGGTAGGGGTGGGGGAGCGATGGGGAAGGGCTGGGGGGGGGGGGCGTGTCCCACGCGGAGTCTTTGTTTGCCAAGTCACCGAGCTAAATGCAGAGCGCAAGTCTCCGGTTGCATCTAATTCTCATAGCAAGCTACGTGGAATTTTCCACTTTTAAAAAGCCCAATCGAGTCTGAAGACTCGTTTCAAAAGGGTTCCCGCATCGGAGTGTTTGGCGAGTCCCACGCATCAGCGAGTGGAAGCGGCCGCTTGATTTTAAACAACGCGTGGAGGGTCCGGGATGCATCCGCTCAGCAGCAGCTACTGCTGCAGATACTGCTGCAGATACTGCTGCTGCTGACCGCGAGGCAAGGATCCCGGGCCTGGAGGGCGGACAGCGCGATCCGCGAGCGGGCGGGGCGAATTGATGAACATTCTAAATGTTTGAAAAGCTGACGGGCTCTATACGGGCGCGGCCAGCAACAAACAGCACGATCAGAGTTAATTTTGCACGTAAAATTGTACACGGAAAATTAACTCTGATTCATAATTGGGTTTTTTTTATTTGGGTTGGGTCGTGTTAAAAAAATGTGTGTCGTAAATCTTCCTCCACCCGACAATTAATAAAGATGCCAAGTGTATTACCGCTTTCGCAGCAGCGTCGCTGTTCTTGTTGTTGGAAAGCGATCTCACGACATTGGACATTGGCTAACGACGTGTCGCGGGACAATACATCTCTGATCGATCAGAGCTGCTCACCTGACGATGCTGAATGTAATCTCCGGCGAAACGTCGTTGCCATGTACACGTGGTGAGATCGCTCCCCAACGACAACACTTGGCACGTTTGACCACGTGACACTTTCATCAATAAGCTGTGTTGGCTGGATGAGGGATTTACGACACACTTTTTTGTTTGTTACACCACCCAACTCACCCAAAACAAAAATCCATAGATCACGATCAGAGTTGTAATAAGTGGCAGAGACGTCACCGCGACGCTTGTACCAGGCTAGGTACATCTTGAGGCCACCTGAATTGTAGAATGCTCTCGCTGCTGGCAGGAGGTGACGGAACAGACCCAGGTATCGACTGAATGAGATGACTTTGCAGATGCCCCACATGGTGCCCCCCGAACTGTGCCAACATGCTGGGTTTTATCCGCCCGGCGTTCCACTCGTTGTTGTGGGCTTCGCTATGAATCACCCTACATACACACAGGCACACTGGCAAAAGAAATACAAATATAGCCCGTATAGCATCATATATAGGCTGTTTGATGAAGTGCTATAAGCGAGCAACATCGAAAGGCTGCTCGGCACGGCAGTGCTGATATTTTCATATCGCACGAGGGTACAAACACAACAACAACAGCCAGAACTCACGAACAGCTTGTGCCAGGCTAGGTGCACACACAATAGCACGTGTGTGGAACTTCCATGGCACCGTACGAAGCCACCCGTGCGTGCTAATCGGCAGTGCGGGGCAAGGACAACAAACGAAACGCAAAAAAGCGTAAAATCATCCGCACTTCGAGACGGGGACGTCAGCAGCTGCTGAGCACAGGGCTCAATGGGCGAAAGCGTCACGAGAAGAGCGACAAACAGCACTGTCAGGCTTGTAATAGACAAGCATGAACGACACGTTGCTGGAATAGAGCGAGGCCATTGTTGTTAAGAGTTTGGAGAGAAGAGAAACGATGGGAAGCGGGAACTCCAACGTGAAGCAGTGGGAGGGGAGTGTCGTGAGCTGCAGTGCCAGGCTAGGTGCACACTCGCACGCAGTGACGGGCTCTGTGGTCGCGTTCAGGGGTCCTGCTGTTCGCGCTGGGCATGGGGATCAACATCCACAGCGACAGCATCCTGCGGGGTCTGCGACGCCCCGGAGACACCCACTACAGCATCCCACAAGGTGGGGCACCCCTACACACAGGGGGTACCCCTACACACACACAGGGGTACCCCTACACACACACAGGGGGTGCACCCCTACACACAGGGGGTACCCCTACACACACACAGGGGGTGTACCCCTACACACAGGGGGTACCCCTACACACAGGGGTACCCCTACACACAGGGGTACCCCTACACACACACAGGGGTACCCCTACACACACACAGGGGTACCCCTACACATACACAGGGGTACCCCTACACACACACAGGGGTACCCCTACACATACACAGGGGGTACCCCTACACACACACAGGGGTACCCCTACACACACACAGGGGGTACCCCAACACACACACAGGGGTACCCCTACACATACACAGGGGGTACCCCTACACACACACAGGGGTACCCCTACACACAGGGGGTACCCCTACACACAGGGGTACCCCTACACACAGGGGGTACCCCTACACACAGGGGTACCCCTACACACAGGGGGTACCCCTACACACAGGGGGTACCCCTACACACAGGTGTACCCCTACACACAGGGGTACCTCTACACACACAGGGGGTGTACCCCTACACACACACACACAGGGGGTGTACCCCTACACACACAGGGGGGTACCCCTACATACACACAGGGGTACCCCTACACACACACAGGGGTACCCCTACACACACACAGGGGGTACCCCTACACACACACAGGGGGTGTACCCTTACACACACAGGGGGGTACCCCTACACACACAGGGGTACCCCTACACACACACAGGGGTACCCCTACACACACACAGGGGGGTACCCCTACACACACACAGGGGGTACCCCTACACACACACAGGGGGTACCCCTACACACACACAGGGGTACCCCTACACACACACAGGGGTACCCCTACACACACACAGGGGTACCCCTACACACACACAGGGGGTACCCCTACACACACACAGGGGTACCCCTACACACACACAGGGGTACCCCTACACACACAGGGGTACCCCTACACACACAGGGGTACCCCTACACACACAGGGGGTACCCCTACACACAGGGGGGTACCCCTACACACAGGGGGGTACCCCTACACACAGGGGGTACCCTTACACACACACAGGGGTACCCCTACACACAGGGGGTGCACACCTACACACAGGGGGGTACCCCTACACACACACAGGGGTACCCCTACACACAGGGGGTACCCCTACACACAGGGGGTACCCCTACACACACAGGGGTACCCCTACATACACAGGGGGTACCCCTACACACAGCGGGTGCACCCCTACACACATGGGGGTACCCCTACACATACACACGGGGTGCACCCCCCCTACACAAAAAAAACAGGGGTAACCCTACACACACGGGGCTACCCCTACACACATGGGGGTGCACCCCTACACACATGGGGGTGCACCCCTACACACATGGGTGTACGCCTACACACATGGGTGTACCCCTACACACACAGGGGTAACCCTACACACACGGGGCTACCCCTACACACACGGCGTGCACCCCTATACACAGGGGTACCCCTACACACACAGGGGGGTACCCCTACACACACAGGGGTACCCCTACACACATGGGTGTACCCCTACACACAGGGGGGTACCCCTACACACACACATGGGGGTACCCCTACACACATGGGGGTACCCCTACACACACACAGGGGTACCCCTACACAGATGGGGGTACCCCTACACACACACAGGGGTACCCCTACACAGATGGGGGTACCCCTACACACACACATGGGGGTACCCCTACACACACAGGGGGATATGAATGGTTTGGGACGGTCATTGAGACTCGGGTTCGTCTGGAGACGCAGGTTTCCAACCCCTGCCCATAGTAAACTGGACTTCCATGGTGAACTGGACTTCCATGGTGAACTTACTTCCTCATGGTAAACTGGACTCCCATGGTAAACTGGACTTCCATGGTGAACTTACTTCCCCATGGCAAACTGGACTCCCATGGTAAACTGGAGTTCCATGGTAAATTGGACTTCCATGGTAAACTGGACTCCCATGATAAATTGGAGTTCCATGGTAGACTGAACTTCCATGGTAAACTGGACTCCCATGGTAAACTGGACTTCCATAGTAAGCTGGACTTCCATGGTAAACTGGAGTTCCATGGTAAACTGGACTCCCATGGTAAACTGGACTTCCATAGTAAGCTGGACTTCCATGGTAAACTGGAGTTCCATGGTAAATTGGACTTCCATGGTAAACTGGACTCCTATGGTAAACTGGACTCACATGGTAAATTGGACTTCCATGGTAAACTGGACTCCCATGGTAAACTGGACTTCCATAGTAAGCTGGACTTCCATGGTAAACTGGAGTTCCATGGTAAATTGGACTTCCATGGTAAACTGGACTCCTATGGTAAACTGGACTCACATGGTAAATTGGACTTCCATGGTAAACTGGACTCCCATGGTAAACTGGAGTTCCATAGTAAACTGGACTTCAAACGAAAATAAGAAAAAAGAGGCATTTAATGTTTCGAATTGCAAGAGCCGCCACTGCAGTCCTTAAAGAGGAGTCACCGCATGCGGCTCCGGAGCCGCCGGTTGGTGGGCCCTGCTGCAGAAGGCAGGGCCTGAGGCAGCCGGCTCCTCTCGACGAGCAGGCACCGTGAGGACGCGGCGTGGAAGCGCACCTCACGCTCCGTGGCGATTCACAGCTGGGGCACCGACTTCTTCGTTGATTTGTTGATGTCGTCCTCACCGATTGCGAAAGCTTTCTATAATACAGTGAGGAAGTAGCCTCGTTAAGTCCACGTTGTGTTCACGGAGACGCGACGCACGACAACACCACAGGGGTAACTCGCCACGGGATGCCTTGATAGGGGATAACTGGACACGGGATGACACGTGACCCCACATGGACCCCTGCAGGGGGTCTGTTCGAGCTGGTGTCGGGCGCGAACTTCCTGGGCGAGATCGTGGAGTGGAGCGGCTTCGCGCTGGCATCATGGTCGCTCCCCGCGGCGACCTTCTGCATCTTCACCGTGTGCGCCATCGGGCCTCGCGCCGTCCACCACCACAAGTACGACATCATCACCATCATCATCACAATCACCACCAACATCACCATCATCACCATCACCATCATCACCATCACCACCACCACCACCATCACCACCATCACCACCAGCACCACCATCACCATCACCACCACCATCACTACCACTATCACTACCACCATCACCACCACCATCACCACCACCATCACCATCACCACCACCACCATCACCATCACCACCATCACCATCATCACCATCACTACCATCACCACCAACACCATCACCATCATCACTACCATCACCATCATCACTATCACTACCATCACCATCATCACTATCACTACCATCACCATCACCACCATCACCATCACCACCATCACCACCACCACCACCATCACCACCATCACCATCATCACCATCACTACCATCACCACCAACACCATCACCATCATCACTACCATCACCATCACCATCATCACTATCACTACCATCACCATCACCATCATCACTATCACTACCATCACCACCATCACCATCACCACCATCACCACCACCAACACCACCATCACCACCATCACTACCATCACCATCACCACTATCACTACCATCACCATCACCATCATCACTATCACTACCATCACCATCACCACCATCACCATCACCACCATCACCATAATCACCATCACTACCATCACCACCAACACCACCACTATCACTACCATCACTATCACTACCATCACCACCACCATCACCATCACCACCACCATCACCACCACCGCCACCACCATCACCATCACCACTATCACCATCACCACCATCACCACCATCACCATCACCACTACCACTATCACTACCACCACCAGTACGACATCACCACCACCACCATCACCACCACCATCACCATCACCACCATCACCATCACCACCACCATCACCACCACCACCATCACTATCACCACCACCAGTACGACATCATCACCACCACCATCACCACCACCATCACCACCACCATCACCACCATCACCACCACCATCACCCACACCACCAACACCACCACCACCACCACCATCATCACCACTACCCACATCACTACCATCACCATCACCACCACTACCATCACCATCACCACTACCAACATCACCACCATCACCACCACCATCACCACCATCACCACCACCATCACCACCACCATCACCACCACCATCACCACCACCACCATCAGCACCATCACCACCACCATTACCACCACCATCACCACCACCATCACCACCACCACCATCACCACCACCATCACCACCACCATCACCACCACCACCACCATCACCACCACCATCTCCACCACCACCATCACCACCACCATCACCACCACCACCACCATCACCACCACCATCACCACCACCACCATCACCACCACCACCATCACCACCACCATCTCCACCACCATCTCCACCACCATCACCACCACCACCATCACCACCACCATCACCACCATCCACACCACCATCTCCACCACCATCACCACCACCATCTCCACCACCATCACCACAAACCCACCAACACCATCACCACCACCACTACTATCACTATCATCACCATCACCACTATCACCACCACTATCACTACCACCACCACCATCACCACCACCATCACCACCATCACCACCACCATCACCACCATCACCACCATCATCACAACCACCACCATCACTACCATCACCACCACCACCACCATCACCACCACGACATCTCCACCACCATCACCACCACCATCACCACCATCACCACCACCAGTACGACATCTCCACCACCATCACCACCATCACCACCACCATCACCACCACCACCACCATCACCACCATCACCACCATCACCACCATCACCACCACCAGTACGACATCACCACCACCACCATCACCACCACCATCACCACCATCACCACCACCATCACCACCACCATCACCACCATCACCACCACCAGTACGACATCACCACCAACATCACCACCACCACCATCACTACCATCACCACCACCAGTACGACATCTCCACCACCATCACCACCATCACCACCACCATCTCCACCACCATCTCCACCACCATCACCACCATCATCACCACCATCACCACCACCACCATCACCACCACCATCACCACCACCATCTCCACCACCACCACCACCATCACCACCACCACTACTATCACTATCATCACCATCTCCACCACCACCACCATCACCACCACCACCACCATCACCACCACCATCACCAGCACTACCACCACCATCACCACCATCACCACCACCACCACCACCATCACCACCACCATTCACTATCTTCACAATGTACGCCTTCGGCACGTGCACCATCCACCATCACCAGTACATAATCACCACTATTGTTATTCCCATCACTACGATAAGCAGCAATAGTTACAACGCCACCATAATCTTTACCACCGTCACCATTATCATCACCACCATAACCCGTAAGACATAATCACATTATAATGTGATGATCATTATCACCATCTACCATAACCCGTATAACCTTACCGCTACCATCAGCACCATCTCCATCACCAGAAGGACCTCATATCCGTCTGTATCACCACCGCCATCACCACCATCACCACCACCATCACCACCATCACCACCACCATCACCACCATCACCACCACCATCACCACCAACACCATCACCACCACCACTATCACTATCATCACCATCACCACTACCACCACCACTATCACTACCATCACCATCACCACCACCATCTCCACCACCACCATCACCACCACCATCACCACCATCACCACCACCACCATCACAACCACTACCACCATCACCACCACCACCACCATCACCACCACCACCACCATCACCACCACCACCACAACCACCACCACCATCACCACCATCACCACCACCATCACCACCACCATCACCACCACCACCAGTACGACATCTCCACCACCATCACCACCATCACCACCACCAGTACGACATCTCCACCACCATCACCACCACCATCACCACCACCACCACCATCACCACCACCATCACCACCACCATCACCACCACCATCACCACCACCACCATCACCACCACCACCATCACCACCACCATCACCACCACCATCACCACCACCATCACCACCACCATCACCACCACCATCACCATCACCACCATCACCACCACCAGTACGACATCACCACCACCATCACCACCACCACTACCATCACCACCACCAGTACGACATCTCCATCACCACCATCACCACCACCATCTCCACCACCATCTCCACCACCATCACCACCATCATCACCACCATCACCACCACCAACATCACCACCACCACCATCACCACCACCATCTCCACCACCACCACCATCACCACCACCACTACTATCACTATCATCACCATCTCCACCTCCACCACCATCACCACCACCACCACCATCATCACCACCACCACCACCACCATCACCACCACCACCATCACCACCACCATCTCCACCATCACCAGCACTACCACCACCATCACCACCACCATCACCACCACCATCACCACCACCACCACCATCACCACCACCATTCACTATCTTCACAATGTACGCCTTCGGCCCGTGCACCATCCACCATCACCAGTACATAATCACCACTATTGTTATACCCATCACTACGATAAGCAGCAATAGTTACAACGCCACCATAATCTTTACCACCGTCACCATTATCATCACCACCATAACCCGTAAGACATAATCACATTATAATGTGAGGATCATTATCACCATCTACCATAACCCGTATAACCTTACCGCTACCATCAGCACCATCTCCATCACCAGAAGGACCTCATATCCGTCTGTATCACCACCGCCATCACCACCATCACCGCAGCGAGGGCAACCGGAAGACATCCACATCACATCGGTAACGTCACCGCCATCGCCCAGATCACCGCTGCGCCATTGTCTTCGAGTTCACTAAACCCGGTGTCTCCATTGCAGATTCTACCTCGAAAAGTTCAAGAACTACCCCAAGTCGCGTCGCGCGCTCATCCCCTTCCTCCTGTGAGCCAGGAGCCAGGGGCTGAGAGCCAGGAGCCATTGGAGGCGCGCGGTGCCAATGACCGTGATGTCATCGTAGTTAATTATAAGAAGCACAGTCGTGCCTGCACCGACATTGATCGAACGAATGAGCGAATGACTGAATGAATGACTGGCTGACCGATTGAGTGATTGCATTGGCAGACTCACTGACCCACTCGTTGACTGACTAAATTACGAATTGACAAGCTCGCTATCCGATTAATGAATTGCCTGACTGCTTGCCTGACAGGCAGCTCAATGAATCGCCTATGGAGCGACTGGTTGTATAGCCCACTGATTGACGATTTGACCTGACTGTTTTACTGGCTGGATGACCTCAATGAGGGACTCCTCATTCACTAATTGGTTGAATCACTGTTTGACCCACGAGCTTACTTGATGATTGGCTGGCTACCTCATCCACTTACTAATTAACGGGAGACGTTTCATTTAAACCGGAAGAACCCGATGAGCTATTTTCATATTCAGGTGACGAACGGGCTCACCGGATACCTCGATTTGATTCACCGACCGATTGGCTAGCCCACTGACCCACTAATTGACCGACTGGCTAGCCCACTGACTCACTAACTGACTGACTGGCTAGCCCACTCACTCACTAATTGACCGACTGACTGGTTAGCCCACTGACTCACTAACTGACCGACTGGATAGCCCACTGACTCACCGACTGACTGGTTAGCCCACTGACGCACCGACTGACTGGTTAGCCCACTGACTCACTAACTCACCGACTGACTGGTTAGCCCACTGACTCACCAACTGACTGACTGGTTAGCCCACTGACTCACCAACTGACCGACTGGCTAGCCCACTGACTCACCGACTGACTGGATAGCCCACTGACTCACTAATTGACCAACTGGATAGCCGACTGACTCACCGACTGACTGGTTAGCCCACTGACTCACTAACTGACCGACTGGCTATCCCACTGACGCACCGACTGACTGGTTAGCCCACTGACTCACTAACTGACCAACTGGTTAGCCCACTGACTCACTAACTGACTGGTTAGCCCACTGACTCACTAATTGACCTTCTGGCTAGCCCACTGACTCACCGACTGACTGGATAGCCCACTGACTCACTAATTGACCAACTGGATAGCCCACTGACTCACCGACTGACTGGTTAGCCCACTGACTCACCAACTGACCGACTGACTAGCCCACTGACTCACTAACTGACCGACTGACTAGCCCACTGACTCACTAACTCACCGACTGACTGGTTAGCCCACTGACTCACCAACTGACCGACTGACTAGCCCACTGACTCACTAACTGACCGACTGAGTAGCCCACTGACTCACTAACTCACCGACTGACTGGTTAGCCCATTGACTCACCAACTGACCGACTGACTAGCTCACTGACTCACTAACTGACCGACTGGCTAGCCCATTGACTGGCTTGCTAATTGATGATTTAGTTAGAGCCGGGGGATTTATCTCCCCCCGCGAGTCCGCGCGTCACGATCCCCGCATCGCGGCCAATGGCGAGGGTGCCCGGAGGATCTGCCCCGCGGGAGGGCACGGCACTGCGGGGCGATGAGGCTGTGATGTAAATGCAATGATGGGGATTTGATGGGAGTATGATGCGGATGACGGGACTGTGACCTGAAATCATGCAGCGATCGCTCGTCTGTGTTGAGCAACTCGCGCTGTGTAATAAACACTGCATGTCGTGATTTCTGAACGTGTGGTTCGCGTCGTGAACTTAATGGGGGTCTGTCACGACCCCTGATCCCACCCGGACCCCTGATCCCATGAATCCCCCCTCCACTTACTCAATCTCTTGCTACCACTGCGTAGGTGTTCGCGGTTGTGCTGCTCCGTTTCGGGTCGTCCTGCCTGTTGTTCAGCACGATGTCCGTCGTTTCGCTCCACGGAACTGAATATTTAAGTTTAAACAATTCAGATACTGGTTAACCCCCCCCCCCCAGCACGTGGATCGAAACGTTGGACATCGTGCCGCCGAACAGCACGCACGCGGCCCAACCGGAGCAAACGTGGGGAGATCCATTGTCTCAGAACTCCGATCCATCGGGAGACCGCACGGACAATCAATCCCCCGCTGCCCCCCCCCCCCCCGCCATTGAACCACCCCGGGAGTCTTAATATCTCAGATTTTGTGGTGAAGTCGAGGGCTGTGGGGGGGGGGGCTTGTGCCTCGCTCCCACGTTAAGTAAAAGTTCCCACCCCCGCTCAGCGCAGTGGGGCCAGCCAATTGGGGCCCGAGGAGAAGCGCACACCTCCTCCCAGTTGCTGCCGTGAGCCAATCAGGGGCGAGAGTCGCACACGTGGGTTTAGGTAGAAAACGGGATCCGAGTCCACAAGAGCGACTCGTCCCGTGCATTTGAGTCCCTGTGAACCCCACGTGCTGCCCCAACCTTTAGCCTTCAATTACCTCCCCCCCAATTGCCCACCCCCCAATTGCCCACCCCTCCCCCCACCAATTACCTTGGCGAGGCCCGCTCACGCATCGCCCGACCGCCAGCGCTACCATCGCCATCAGTGATTTATTGCAATAAAACCTCCATCATCATCACCGCCACCGCCACCGCAAATTAATCCTCAACGCCGAGCTAGGGGACTCGGCCGAGAGCGAGAGAGAGAGAGAGGACGTGCAGTGCGGAGACGGAGCGATGAAAGTGAGCTGGTGTAGCAGCAGGTGGAGGATTGTTGTCGCATCGCGGGGTCGTGAGAGATGCCAACGGTCTGGGGAGGCCTTCATCCAGCAGTGGAGCGAGCACGGCTGCCGGCGATGGTCACGACGATCTTGACTCCGAAACGATCCGACGTGAAGCGAGAATCCAAACTCGCCAATAGCCCTGTGGCCCGCAAAAAGGAACAATACACAATAGGCGACGTTTCGGGCCACGACCCTTCTTTCTTCATAGCAGTTAGACAGAGTGACCCCCCCCCCCCCCCACAGAGAGCCCTGGGGTTGGCGACGAAGCCGCGTGTGGAATGAAAGCGTTCGGTACGCGCCCTGACCAATAGCCCGGGAGCCCAGGCGAGCCGAGCCAGGGCTCACGACACAGAACCTGGCACCACGACACAGAACCTGGCTCCAGGAGCCACGACACAGAACCTGGCTCCACGACACGGAACCTGGCACCACGACACAGAACCTGGCACCACGACACAGAACCTGGCACCACGACACAGAACCTGCCTCCAGGAGCCACGACACAGAACCTGGATCCACGATACAGAACCTGGCACCACGACACAGAACCTGGCACCACGACACAGAACCTGGCTTTCGGTGGAATTAGATTCATCATGGGGCCTTGTTGTGCTCTGATAGGTGCATTGTCTTCGTACTGTTCGTCTTTTGGCATTCTATGGTCTGACACTGACGAGACGAGGCCATGAAGAAGGCCCTCGAATATCGCACTCCGCCCCCCACTTCCCGTGCCCCCCTCGACTTCCCCGTGCCCCCCTTCACTTCCCCGTGCCCCCCTCCACTCCCCCGTGCCCCCTCCACTTCCCTGTGCCTCCCCTCCACTTCCCCGTCCCCGCCTCCACTTCCCCGTGCCCCCCTCACTTCCCCGTGACCCCCTCCACTTCCCCGTGCCCCCCTCTACTTCCCCGTGCCCCCCTCCACTTCCCCGTGCCCCTCTCCACTTCCTCGTGCCCCCCCCACTTCCCCGTGAAACCCTCCACTTCCCCGTGCCCCCCCCCCACTTCCCCGTGCCCCCCCCCACTTCCCCGTGCAGAAGTGGATGGGGGTGGAGGAGGCGCCGCGTCTAATGAGGGAAGCGGGTGTGGTGTCTCGCCTGGAGGACATTGGTGAGTAGCCACCATCATCACTGCCATCACCCATCACCACCATCAACACTGCCATCACCCAGACCCATCACCACCATCACCTAGACCCATCACCACCATCATCACTGCCATCACCCAGACCCATCACCACCATCATCACTGCCATCACCCAGACCCATCACCACCATCACCTAGACCCATCACCACCATCATCACTGCCATCACCCAGACCCATCACCACCATCATCACTGCCATCACCCAGACTCATCACCACCATCATCACTGCCATCACCCATCACCACCATCATCACTGCCATCACCCAGACCCATCACCACCATCATCACTGCCATCACCTAGACCCATCACCACCATCATCACTGCCATCACCCATCACCACCATCATCACTGCCATCACCCAGACCCATCACCACCATCATCACTGCCATCACCTAGACCCATCACCACCATAATCACTGCCATCACCCATCACCACCATCGTCACTGCCATCACCCAGACCCATCACCACCATCATCACTGCCATCACCTAGACCCACCATCATCACTGCCATCACCCAGACCCATCACCACCATCACCCAGACCCATCACCACCATCATCACTGCCATCACCCAGACTCATCACCACCATCATCACTGCCATCACCCATCACCACCATCATCACTGCCATCACGCAGACCTATCACCACCATCATCACTGCCATCACCTAGACCCATCACCACCATCATCACTGCCATCACCCATCACCACCATCATCACTGCCATCACCCAGACCCATCACCACCATCATCACTGCCATCACCTAGACCCATCACCACCATCATCACTGCCATCACCCATCACCACCATCATCACTGCCATCACCCAGACCCATCACCACCATCATCACTGCCATCACCTAGACCCACCATCATCACTGCCATCACCCAGACCCATCACCACCATCAACACTGCCATCACCCAGACCCATCACCACCATCATCACTGCCATCACCCAGACCCATCACCACCATCATCGCTGCCATCACCCATCACCACCATCATCACTGCCATCACCCATCACCACCATCATCACTGCCATCACCCAGACCCATCACCACCATCATCACTGCCATCACCCATCACCACCATCATCACTGCCATCACCCAGACCCATCACAACCATCATCACTGCCATCACCCAGACCCATCACCACCATCATCACTGCCATCACCCAGACCCATCACCACCATCATCACTGCCATCACCCAGACCCATCACCACCATCATCACTGCCATCACCCAGACCCACCATCATCACTGCCATCACCCAGACCCACCATCATCACTGCCATCACCCAGACCCATCACCACCATCATCACTGCCATCACCCAGACCCATCACAACCATCAACACTGCCATCAACACTGCCATCACCCAGACCCATCACCACCATCATCACTGCCATCACCCAGACCCATCACCACCATCAACACTACCATCACCCAGACCTATCACCACCATCATCACTGCCATTACCCAGACCCATCACCACCATCAACACTGCCATCACCCAGACCCATCACTACCATCATCACTGCCATCACCCAGACCCATCACCACCATCATCACTGCCATCACCCAGACCCATCACCACCATCATCACTGCCATCACCCAGAACCATCACCACCATCAACACTGCCATCACCCAGACCCATCACTACCATCATCACTGCCATCACCCAGACCCATCACCACCATCATCACTGCCATCACCCAGACCCATCACCACCATCATCACTGCCATCACCCAGACCCACCATCATCACTGCCATCACCCAGACCCATCACCACTATTAACACTGCCATCACCCAGACCCATCACCACCATCATCACTGCCATCACCCAGACCCATCACCACCATCATCACTGCCATCACCCAGACCCATCACAACCATCATCACTGCCATCACCCAGACCCATCACCACCATCATCACTGCCATCACCCAGACCCATCACCACCATCATCACTGCCATCACCCAGACCCACCATCATCACTGCCATCACCCAGACCCATCACCACCATCAACACTGCCATCACCCAGACCCATCACCACCATCATCACTGCCATCACCCAGACTCATCACCACCATCATCACTGCCATCACCAGACCCATCACAACCATCATCACTGCCATCACCCAGACCCATCACCACCATCATCACTGCCATCACCCAGACCCATCACCACCATCATCACTGCCATCACCCAGACCCATCACCACCATCATCACGGCCATCACCCAGACCCATCACCACCATCATCACTGCCATCACCCAGACCCATCACCACCATCATCACTGCCATCACCCATCACCACCATCATCACTGCCATCATCCAGACCCATCACCACCATCATCACTGCCATCACCTAGACCCATCACCACCATCATCACTGCCATCACCCATCACCACCATCATCACTGCCATCACCCAGACCCATCACCACCATCATCACTGCCATCACCTAGACCCATCACCACCATCATCACTGCCATCACCCATCACCACCATCATCACTGCCATCACCCAGACCCATCACCACCATCATCACTGCCATCACCTAGACCCACCATCATCACTGCCATCACCCAGACCCATCACCACCATCACCTAGACCCATCACCACCATCATCACTGCCATCACCCAGACCCATCATCACTGCCATCACCTAGACCCATCACCACCATCATCACTGCCATCACCCATCACCACCATCATCACTGCCATCACCCAGACCCATCACCACCATCATCACTGCCATCACCTAGACCCATCACCACCATCATCACTGCCATCACCCATCACCACCATCATCACTGCCATCACTCCTACCATCACCACCATCATCACTGCCATCACCTAGACCCACCATCATCACTGCCATCACCCAGACCCATCACCACCATCAACACTGCCATCACCCAGACCCATCACCACCATCATCACTGCCATCACCCAGACCCATCACCACCATCATCGCTGCCATCACCCATCACCACCATCATCACTGCCATCACCCATCACCACCATCATCACTGCCATCACCCAGACCCATCACCACCATCATCACTGCCATCACCCATCACCACCATCATCACTGCCATCACCCAGACCCATCACCACCATCATCACTGCCATCACCCAGACCCATCACCACCATCATCACTGCCATCACCCAGACCCATCACCACCATCATCACTGCCATCACCCAGACCCATCACCACCATCATCACTGCCATCACCCAGACCCACCATCATCACTGCCATCACCCAGACCCACCATCATCACTGCCATCACCCAGACCCATCACCACCATCATCACTGCCATCACCCAGACCCATCACAACCATCAACACTGCCATCAACACTGCCATCACCCAGACCCATCACCACCATCATCACTGCCATCACCCAGACCCATCACCACCATCAACACTACCATCACCCAGACCCATCACCACCATCATCACTGCCATTACCCAGACCCATCACCACCATCAACACTGCCATCACCCAGACCCATCAATACCATCATCACTGCCATCACCCAGACCCATCACCACCATCATCACTGCCATCACCCAGACCCATCACCACCATCATCACTGCCATCACCCAGAACCATCACCACCATCAACACTGCCATCACCCAGACCCATCACTACCATCATCACTGCCATCACCCAGACCCATCACCACCATCATCACTGCCATCACCCAGACCCATCACCACCATCATCACTGCCATCACCCAGACCCACCATCATCACTGCCATCACCCAGACCCATCACCACCATCAACACTGCCATCACCCAGACCCATCACCACCATCATCACTGCCATCACCCAGACCCATCACCACCATCATCACTGCCATCACCCAGACCCATCACCACCATCATCACTGCCATCACCCAGACCCATCACCACCATCATCACTGCCATCACCCAGACCCATCACCACCATCATCACTGCCATCACCCAGACCCACCATCATCACTGCCATCACCCAGACCCATCACCACCATCAACACTGCCATCACCCAGACCCATCACCACCATCATCACTGCCATCACCCAGACCCATCACCACCATCATCACTGCCATCACCCAGACCCATCACAACCATCATCACTGCCATCACCCAGACCCATCACCACCATCATCACTGCCATCACCCAGACCCATCACCACCATCATCACTGCCATCACCCAGACCCATCACCACCATCATCACTGCCATCACCCAGACCCATCACCACCATCATCACTGCCATCACCCAGACCCATCACCACCATCATCACTGCCATCACCCAGACCCATCACCACCATCATCACTGCCATCACCCAGACCCATCACCACCATCATCACTACCATCACCCAGACCCATCACCACCATCATCACTGCCATCACCCAGACCCATCACCACCACCAACACTGCCATCACCTAGACCCATCACCACCATCATCACTGCCATCACCCAGACCCATCACCACCATCATCACTGCCATCACCCAGACCCATCACTACCATCAACACTACCATCACCCAGACCCATCACCACCATCATCACTGCCATAACACAAACCCATCACCACTATCATCACTGCCATCGCAGAGACCCATCACCACCATCAACACTGCCATCACCCAGACCCATCACCACCATCAACACTGCCATCACCCAGACCCATCACCACCATCAACACTAGCATAACCCAGACCCATCACCACCATCAACACTACCATCACCCAGACCCATCACCACCATCAACACTGCCATCACCCAGACCCATCACCACCATCAACACTACCGTCACCCAGACCCATCACCACCATCATCACTGCCATCACCCAGACCCATCACGACCATCAACACTGCCATCACCCAGACCCATCACCACCATCAACACTGCCATCACCCAGACCCATCACCACCATCAACACTACCATCACCCAGACCCATCACCACCATCAACACTGCCATCACCCAGACCCATCACCACCATCAACACTAGCATCACCCAGACCCATCACCACCATCAACACTACCATCACCCAGACCCATCACCACCATCATCACTGCCATCACCCAGACCCATCACCACCATCAACACTACCATCACCCAAATCCATCATTACCATCACCGAGACCCATCACCACCATCATCACTTCTTCCCCCAATTCCTATGTACCATCCAAAGTGCTCACCGGGACACCCCTCCTGCCCCTCCCCCCGTGCCCCCCATGCTGCTCCGTGCTGGACTATGGGGATCTGGAGTTCGCCGAGGCCCCCCAGAGAGAGGGGAATGGGGGGCTGCGGGGGCTGCGGGGGCTGCGGGGGCCGTGGGTCGCAGCAGCTGGCGCAGGCGGTGAGCCGGGCGGTGCAGGACGGGAGCTGCTGCGTGACGCTGGGTGGAGACCACACGTGACACCACCTCCACCATGAATACCAGCACTACCATCACTACCACCACCATGAATACCAGCACTACCATCACTACTACCATCACTACTACCATCACTACCACCATCACTACCACCACGGATACCAGCACTACCATCACTACTACCATCACTACCACCATCACTACCACCACCACGAATACCAGCACTACCATCACTACTACCATCACTACCACCATCACTACCACCATGAATACCAGCACTACCATCACTACTACCATCACTACCACCATCACTACCACCACCACGGATACCAGCACTACCATCACTACCACCACCATGAATACCAGCACTACCATCACTACTACCATCACTACCACCATCACTACCACCACCATGAATACCAGCACTACCATCACTACTACCATCACTACCACCATCACTACCACCACCACGGATACCAGCACTACCATCACTACAACCATCACTACCACCATCACTACCACCATCACTACCACCACCACGGATACCAGCACTACCATCACTAACACCATCACTACCACCACCACCACGGATACCAGCACTACCATCACTACTACCATCACTACCACCATCACTACCACCACCATGAATACCAGCACTACCATCACTACCACCATCGCTACCACCACTACAAATACCAGCACTACCATAACTACTACCATCACTACCACCTCCACGAATACCAGCACTACCATCACTACCACCATCACTACCACCACCACCACCACCACCACAAATACCAGCACTGCCATCACTACCACCATCGCTACCACCACCACCACCACCACAAATACCAGCACTACCATCACTACCATCATCACTACTACCACCATCACTACTCTCCCCTACTCACCCCTATATCATCCTCGCCCTCCGTCTCTCCCCTTCTGACCTCCCGTCTCTCCCCTTCTGACCTCGCGTCTCTCACCCCCCGTGACCCCTGCGACCCCGTGCCCCCCCCCCGTCCCCCCCGCCCCCAGCCTGGCTATCGGCTCGGTGTCGGGCTACATGCGGGAGCGGCCCGACTTGTCCGTGCTGTGGGTGGACGCTGACGCGGACGTCAACACGCCGCTCACCACCCCCACGGGGAACCTGCACGAGCAGCCCGTGGCCTTCCTGCTGCGCGAGCTGCATGACGAGGCGAGTGCCGGTGCCCCCCCCCCCTCCCATGTCCCCCACGGTGTGGGCGAGGTGCCCGCGTCCCCCCCCCCCCGCGCCCCACCACCCTCCCCAATGCCACCGCTGCCCTCTCCGTGCCGTCCCCCGCAGGTGCCGGCGCTGCCCGGGTTCTCGTGGCTGTCGCCCTGCCTGCTGGCGAGGGACCTCGCCTACATTGGGCTCAGGGACGTGGACCCCGCTGAGAGGTGACCCCCCGTCCGCTTGGTGCACCCCGCAGGGGCGTGAGGACGGTGGGGTGGGGGGGGGGGACAGGGGGAGACGGGCGGACCCGTTCTGTGGAAAGGGCAGCACCCTGCTCCAGATGACCCCGAATGACTTCTGCCCGGGTTTATAGCCACGCACGTGTGAGCAAGGTTCATGAGGGGTTCAGGGGTGTCCATGAGGTTAAAGGGAGCTCAGCGGAGATCAGGGAGTCTCGGGGGGGGGGGGGGTGGGTAGCGGCCTCCCCTTGCACCTGCTCCGTGTCCGCATCGAGCCGAGGTCGCGTGTCGCACAGCGTCATCCTCAAGTCGCCCGGGATGAGACACTTGTCCATGTGGACCTGCTGGGCATCCAGAAGGTGGTGGAGATGGCGCTGGATCATCTCATGCCCAGGTGCCTCCATCTCTAACCCAAACCCAGTTCCAAACCCTAAACCAGTTTTAACCCTGAGCACAATAATAGCTCCAATTTTAACCCTATCTCTAACTAGCCACATAGCCCTAAAAACTTTCTTCCAACTCCTAACCCCGAATTAGATCTCAAAAGATAAATGTAGCCAAGGGATTAACCCGAGCCTAACCCGAACACAATATGCAGCAATTAAGTCCTCAAATGTTGCCCTATCCCTAACTGTAACATGACCCCAAATGTTTACCTTTTCCTGACCCTGTGGATGGGACCCCGCGTGACCCCAGATGCCGCAGGCCGCTCTACCTCAGCTTTGACATCGACGCGTTCGACCCGAGCGTGGCCCCCGCCACGGGGACCCTGGTGAGGGGGGGGGGGCTCACGCACAGGGAGGGGATCTTCAACGCTGAGGAGGTGCACGCCACGGGTGAGCGGGGAGAGCGTCCACCTCGATCACCCTCCATCACTTCCACCACCTCGATCACCCTCCATCACCTCCAACACCTCAACCACCCTCCATCACCTCCATCACCTCGAAAATCTCGACCACCCTCCATCACCTCCACCACCTCGACCACCATCCATCACCTCCGCCACCTCGACCACCCTTCCATCACCTCCACCACCTCGACCACCCACCATCACCTCCACCACCTCGACCACCTCGACTACCCTCCCTCACCTCCACCACCTCGACTATCCTCCATTACCTCCTCCTGCAAAACTTCCACTCCTCCATCTACATAATCCTCCCTCCACCCTCGTGCTCCTCAATCTCCACCCACCATCCCTTCCACTACCTCGACCACCCTCCATCTCTTCCACTACCTCGACCACCCTCCATCCCTTCCACTACCTCGACCACCCTCCATCCCTTCCACTACCTCCGCTCCTGCATCCCTCTCCCTCCTCTCCCTCCACCGCCACCCTCCGCACCACCTTCCGGCTTCTCCATCCCTCCCGCTATCCCCACTCATCCTCCGCCGCCGCCACTTCATCGCCTTCCCCTCCCCATCCATCACCTCCACCTTGCCGTGGTCTCCCCGCGTGTCCCACCCCAGGCTCGCTGGGCGCGCTGGACCTGGTGGAGGTGAACCCGCGCGTGGGCGGCGGCGGCGAGGGGTGCGACGCGGTGGTGGCCACGGTGAGCCTGGGAGTCGAGGTGGTGCTCTCCTGCCTGGGCCGCGCGCGCGGGGGCTCCCACGCCCCCTCGTACTCCCTGCCGGTCCGGGCGAGGCCCCCCCACTCGGAGGAAGAGAAGCACGGGCACCAGGCGCACGCACGAACCCCCCCACCGCTAGAAATCCGTGGCAGCGCGAACCCTGCGACCCAAGCTACACGTGGCTCAGGCGTGGGATCTTGGTTCGTATCGCACGGACCTGCGGCTCCGGAGCCACATGCGGCTCTTTGGCTGCCCCTTTGTGGGAAGCCGTTTTATGAAATAAAAATTGACTTTATTCGGTTCTTCGCACTCTGAAATGTAGCACAGGTGGTCCCCGCTTTTACGACACAAGGTGTTCCTGGAAACCCCGTCGTGAATAGGAACCTATTTTCCTACAGATGCAGTGTTTAGCGTCTTTGTGACATCAAAAGTCAAACTGCATTGTTAAAGAGTAACTAAGGGGGGGGGGGGGGGGGGCGAAGTACCTAGACGCAATTGACTCCATCACCTATTTTGTTTATTTTCGGCAGAATGTCTGTTGTCATCTTCTGCATGCCTGCTGCTGTGTACAAGTGGCTCTCTCTGCGTGTGATATGGCTCTCGAAATATTTTGGTCAAAGACACGAACAAGCTAAATGGCTCTCCTTCTTCTTCTTCGAAAGGTTGCCGACCCCTGGCCCAAACGGACAGAGCATCCAGTCAAGTAGAGTTAGGGATATTGTGTGTGTGTAGTGGGGAGCGGATGTGTAGCGGTTTTCGCACTGCGCTATGAACCCGGCGACCCGAGTTCGATTCCCGCTCACGGCCAACCCCAGTGACGATTACCTGAACCGGTCCTGGGCCTCCCTACCGCACCAGGTACTCATTTGATTACCGTATTTTCCCGCATATAACCTGCGGGGTATACCACTTTTTACAAACAAAACAAGACCCTGCGGGGTATATGGAGGTGCGGGCTATCTGAAATGTGTTTTACATAAAACGCTATTTTTGCAGGGTATATGCATCTGCGGGTTATATGCGTATGCGGGCTATATGCGGGGAAATACGGTAAGTTTAAAACGAGTACCTGGTGCGGTGTGTAAACTTCGCCAATGGGGAGACAAAGGCGGTCGGGCGTGGTTCTGGCCACCCCATCCCCTCGTGTACTGTGCCGGCCTTCATAGGTGCTCAATAACAAACATCACTTGCCTGAGAAAGTCTGCTTAGGCTACACGGGGAATCTACGTATTGTCGAGTACGTGCGGTGTACGTGCGGTGTAGTGGTAATGGTAATTGAAGGCGGAGGGGGTCACCAGCCCCTCGCACCCGTCCAGAGCTCCCGGCGGCCGCTGCGAGCGCCGTGTGGGAGACAGCCGATGGGTATCGGCCCTCTTCTCCGACGGCATCGCCCCCCGGGCCACCGCACTGCCAATAAGTTGCCGCAGTAGTCGTGAGCACGGGTGGCGCCGGTCCGCACCCTAACTTGGGTTGACTCGGCCTCACGTGAGCGTCCGGTGCGATGGGTAAAACATCGCGACGGGGATAGACGAAAGCAGCCGCGTGTGGTGCTGGCCACACACTCAAACATGTGCCGTACCGGCCCTTGTCCCAACAGTCTGTTAAGGCTATACGGGGGACCTTTATATTTGTATGTATGGGTATCGCGCGTGACGCGTCCAACGCCGATTAAACTGAATGCGCGCTTTCAGTATTCACGTCACGCTGCCTGGCTCTTGTTTAGCAATCATCTGGTGCGCGCGCGCGCGTAACGGCGATTTACAGCGATGTTGTTCCCCTTAATCCGACTTCGTTTCAACCGGGGCGTGAGCTCTCGAAAACATTCCACGAGACCGTCTCTGGCCCATGGGAACACTGGGGCGCAACTCGGAGCGAACCTGCAGCGCGCCCTGCGTTTCCCTCGGGCTTTGCGGTCTCCACGACGCTCCCTCGGCGGTAGGACCCCCAGGGTAGGGGGCAGATCCCGATCCCGCCGGGGAGGGGGACGGGGTCCCAGGACCCTAACCCTGGTACCCCCTGAGCAGGGTTCTGCACCCCCACTAGCCCCCCTACCCCCGCCCCGCGTCCTCCACACTCCGCAGTCACGAACTTCGTGTGTAGCTACAGCGTACACCACGGCAGGGAGGATGCCGTAGCATTGTTAACACATTCCTGCGGAGGGAGCTGGTAGGAACGTTGGGTTGCTCGGTCAATGGCCAGGGTCAACGGCGGCACCACGTGGTGTATTCCGCAAATATGCCCGACTGTGAGGGCGGGCACAAGCAGGCGTGAGTAGGTTAAACGTTGAGTTTTATAAGAGCACCACGGGGTGACCAGCCCCTCCCCATCCAGCCCCACCCCTCCCACCCCCCACCCAGCCCCACCCTCCCCACCCAGCCCCTCCCCACCCCAGCCCCACCCTCCCCACCCAGCCCCTCCCCACCCTCTCCACCCAGCCCCTCCCTCTCCACCCAGCCCCTCCCCACCCAGCCCCTCCCTCTCCACCCAGCCCCACCCCTCCCATTTTTGGATGCACGACGGACGGACACAATAATCCCCTGTGGGCTGGTGTAACCAGGAGTTTCCTACCAGTAACATGTTCGTGACAATACACTGCTTGATGAGGGCGCCTCCCAACGCCGTGCGGGTCGTGAGTTGTTCGATCATACTTAAACGCGCTGGTGAGCGCAGGATGGTGAAGGTGAGAGAGCATGGACGTAGAAGCATAGGAGTATGGTACAACAATGGATTTATGTTTCTGCACCGAGTTCCACTGGCGTGAGTGCCGAGTCACAGTTCCAGGCTGCAGCATGCTTGGCTTGCGAGGTCTCACGAGGCCAGGCAATTACCCATCAACACAGAATGAGAATACTGTTCTTATTTAGACTGGAGGAATCCGATGAGCTACAAAAATCTTGTTCACAGATGTCCAATACGGGCAGGACGTGAGCACGTTACCACAACAAACAGTACACAAACACGATGAGAGTGCAAAGTGTTGGAAAGCTAAACAAATCATTTACAAAATATATATATATTTTTTAATAAAGAAATATTTTTACATTTTCCAAGTAAGGCCAGGTCGCTTTCAAAAGCGACCTGGCAACGAATGATAGCTCAACAAAGTGGTTTATCGTGTTTACATTTATGGCAGCAAAAAATAATCTGAGAAATAATTTCAAAGCGTGTTTGTAAATGTGGAGGGAAAACCCGGAGGACCCGGAGAAAATATCCACGCGAACAGGGGGAGGAAGATGACATCTCCTAGCCACCGTGGTGCCACTTAAATAAATAAAGTATATAAGTTCGAATTGCATAATCAATTCCCAAGTTTGGGAAAGGCAGTAAACCAACAGTAAAAACAGTCCCAGACCACACCAACACAACACAATCCCTCAATAAAATCGTACGTAAAAAGTGTAACTCTCGATACATTTAGCATCAAATTTACAATATGGCTGTATCTCCCATCACCACTATCCCATCACCACACTCACTCTCCCATCATCACATTCACTCCCCCATTACCCCACTCTCTCCCATCCACGCTTACTGCTCCATCACCACACACACTCCCCCATTACCCCACTCACTCCCCCATCACCCCAATCACTCCTTCCCGTCACCTCACTTACTCCCTCCCATCACCCTACTCCCAGCCATCACCCCACTCACTCCCTCCCATCACCCCACTAACTCTCACATCACTAAACTCACTCCCTCCCATCACCCCACTCACTCCCTCCCATCACCCCACTAACTCTCACATCACTCAACTCACTCCCTCCCATCACCCCACTCACTCCCATCACCCTACTCCTTTCCACTCACTCCCCGATTACCCCACTCACTCCCCCATCACCCCAATCACTCCTTCCCATCACCCCACTAACTCTCACATCACTAAACTCACTCCCTCCCATCACCCCACCCACTCCCTCCCATCACCACACTCCCTTCTCCCATCGCCCCACCCACTCCGTCCCATCACCACACTCACTCCCTCCCATCACCCAATCCACTCCCTCCCATCACCCCACTCACTCCCTCCCATCACCCAATCCACTCCCTCCCATCACCACACCCAATCCCTCCCATCACCCCATCCACTCCCTCCCATCACCACACCCACTCCCTCCCATCACCACACTCACTCCCTCCCATCACCACACTCCCTCCCTCCCATCACCCCACCCACTCCCTCCCATCACCCCATCCACTCCCTCCCATCACCCCACCCACTCCCTCCCATCACCACACTCACTCCCTCCCATCACCACACCCACTCCCTCCCATCACCACACTCACTCCCTCCCATCACCACACTCACTCCCTCCCATCACCACACTCACTCCCTCCCATCACCACACTCACTCCCTCCCATCACCACACTCACTCCCTCCCATCACCACACTCACTCCCTCCCATCACAACACTCACTCCCTCCCATCACCACACCCACTCCCTCCCATCACCACACTCACTCCCTCCCATCACCCCATCCACTCCCTCCCATCACCACACTCACTCCTCCCACCCATCACCCCACTCCCTCCCATCACCCCATCCACTCCCTCCCATCACCACACCCACTCCCTCCCATCACCCCACTCACTCCCTCCCTCCCATCGCCACACTCCCTTCCATCACCACACCCACTCCTTTTCATCACCACACTCACTCCCTCCCATCCCCACACTCACTCCCTCCCATCACCACACCCACTCCCTCCCATCGCCCCACCCACTCCCTCCCATCACCACACTCACTCCCTCCCATCACCACACTCACTCCCTCCCATCACCACACTCACTCCCTCCCATCACCCAATCCACTCCCTCCCATCACCACACTCACTCCCTCCCATCACCACACTCCCTCCCTCCCATCACCCCACCCACTCCCTCCCATCACCCCATCCACTCCGTCCCATCACCACACTCACTCCCTCCCACCCATCACCCCACTCCCTCCCATCACCGCATCCACTCCCTCCCATCACCACACCCACTCCCTCCCATCACCACACTCCCTCCCTCCCATCACCCACCCACTCCCTCCCATCACCACACTCACTCCCTCTCATCACCACACCCACTCCCTCCCATCACCACACTCACTCCCTCCCATCACCACACTCACTCCCTCCCATCACCACACTCACTCCCTCCCATCACCACACTCACTCCCTCCCATCACCCCACTCACTCCCTCCCATCACCACACTCACTCCCTCCCATCACCACACTCACTCCCTCCCATCACCACACTCACTCCCTCCCATCACCACACTCACTCCCTCCCATCACCACACTCACTCCCTCCCACCCATCACCCCACTCCCTCCCATCACCCCATCCATTCCCTCCCATCACCCACCCACTCCCTCCCATCACCCCACTCACTCCCTCCCTCCCATCGCCACACTCCCTTCCATCACCACACCCACTCCCTTTCATCACCACACTCACCCCCTCCCATCACCTCACTCACTCCCTCCCATCGCCCCACCCACTCCCTCCCATCGCCCCACCCACTCTCTCCCATCGCCCCACCCACTCCCTCCCATCGCCCCACCCACATCGCCGGCCCCCGCACACGCAGCCCGTCACCGCCCCTCACGCCACGTGCCCCTCCTCCTCCCCCTGCGCACGTCACTCACCACGTGGCGCGGGTCACTCGGGGCTCGCCTCTCGACCCGCTCCGTCTCCCACCGCTCGCCCTCGCCATGGCGCCGCTCGCCGCTCCCAGCTCCCTCCTCCTCCTCTTCGTAGCGACTCTGCTCGGGCTCGCGGGGTTCCTCGCCTGGATGAGGCCGCGGCTCCGGTAACGCGGGGCGACGGGCGACTCGCGTTGCCATGGGCACGTTACGTTGCCGTGGGTACCTGACTCTGCACGCGTTACCATGAGTGTTGCCACGCATACATTACCATGCACGCTTTACCATGCATACATTACCTTGCACGCGTTGCCATGTATACCCTCACTTGCACGCGTTACCATGGACACGTTCTCTTGCACGCGTTACCATGCATACATTACCTTGCACGCGTTACCATGCGTACCTTCACTTCCACGCGTTACCATGGATACGTTACATTGCACACGTTACCATGCGTACGTTACCTTCCACGCGTCACCATGCGTACGTGACCTTGCACGCGTTACCATGCATACCTTACTTTGCACGCGTTACCATGGATACGTTACCTCGGAGGCGTCACTATATATATACGTTACCTTGCACGGGTTAAATGAGCGTTGCCAGGGTAACGTGGTACCATAATGGTGACCCCAGTAACACGCCACACTGCGCCCGTTGCCTGGCTAATGGAGTTTGAATGGACAGGGCAGTGGAGCATAGACGCCGGAGAACAGTACAGTACAATGGCTTTTGCTGTACTGCCCTCTGCTGGCAGTATAGCCACGCGGCAGGGTGGACCCTGGATGTCTACCAGGGGGATCCAGAGCCCCCACCCCCAGGAGGTCACACGCCGTGGGGTCACGGAGACCGTGGGGTCACGGAGACCGTGGGGTCAAGGAGACCGTGGGGTCACGGAGACCGTGGGGTCACGGAGAGCGCGGCTCCGCGATGGAGGCGAGACGGCGTTCTTGTCATTTGGCAGCAGGTCAGCACGGACCCAGTCGTCCAAAATCGTCAAGCAGCCCAGCAAGCAAGCAGCTGTCCCCTCTGCACAGGGGGGGGGGGGGGGCACAGTGGCATGGCACAGGCGGTGCATCTGCCAGCCACGTCGTCGCTGTAAACGGCAGCGTCGTTCACGCGGCTGCAGCGCACGTACCGTGAGCCCTCCGCAACTCACAGAGTCGCGGAGGTGAAGATGTCTCCAGCCAATGAGCCAGTGTTTATTATGCACGCGGGAGGAAATGGGAGCACCCGGGGAAACCCTACGCATGAGAAGGGGCGACACTTGGTCGCGGACAGATAAGACAGATGATATTAGCCCTGGCTCCTCCCTAGATACCCACAGGAAGGAAGTTTCACAAAATCTGTGTGATGATCCACCAACCCCCGCCGCCTCCATAGCGCTGGATTACAGGCAGCCACGTGCACAGCCACAGCCGCCAGGAGATTGTGGGTTTGATCCCGTCGCTGACGCTTGTGTGTTTTGGTTTTGCGTGTTCTCACCGTGGTCCAGTGGAATTTTCTCCGGGTCCTCCGGTTATTTTGCCTGCTATACGTTTCTGCAAGATAAGCCACTTTGTTGGGCTACCATTTGTGGCCAGGTCGCTTCTGATAAAGAGCTACATGATTCAGTGGGCCTTACCTGGCAAATATATTTTTTTAAAGGTTGAGTTTAACCAAAAGCACCTGGGACTGTTCCGTAACCTTCTGCCGACAAGCCTTCAACACCGCACGTGATGGCCTCGAAGTGCACCTAGCTTGGCACAAGCCACTGTGGCTGTCCTTTCCCCGTGCGGCAGGCGGTACGTGGCGGGGAGGCGGTGCCCCTCGGCGGCGCGCGTGGACGGGAAGACGGTGGTGGTGACCGGGGCGAGCAGCGGCATCGGCAAGGAGACGGCGCTGGAGCTGGCGAGGAGAGGTGAGCGTGGGCTCCGCTGGACCCCGGTCCCTAATCACAAACAGACCGAGACCCCGAGGCACTAATCTCGGTGGCCCTGACCTCGTGCCCCCAACCGTATAGTGCTAGGTTCAACTATGGTGCCCAGTGGGGCTCATGACGAGTTGGCGTGGTGCCGACAGTACACGTGCAGTCACATGTCGTATGCACCGATGATGTGGTGGGGCGTCTGTACACGTCTCCAGAGGGCTCTCACCTATGTCGCTCGTTTATCTCACATTTGCTGTCATTAATCTGTTTCTCTCATCTCCGGAACCTCACCAAGCTGCATCTTCATCTCCCAGTGGTCTATTTTTCTCACGGGGCCACTCTACGAGCCTCGTAGTGGACCCCCCCCGCCCCCGGACTCCCTGTGACTGCCCTGCCGTGATGGCGCGATGTTCCCGGACCCGCAGGTGCACGAGTCATCATGGCGTGCCGGGACACGCGCAAGGCCGAGGCGGTGGCGAGCGAGTTGCGCGCGCAGTCGGGGAGCCAGGATGTGCACGTGCGGCACCTCGACCTCGCCAACTCGGCCTCCATCCGTGACTTCGCACAGAAACTCCTGCAGGGTGCGCACGGGGAAGGGGGGCTGGGGGGGGGGGGCGGCAGGGCAGCGGTGGAGAGAGCGGCACCCCCCTGTCACCAGCTGCACCTCCGCCACCACCACCAGCTGCATCTTTGCCACCGTCACCACGGCAGCAACGATCACTTCCTTTGAACTCCCCTGCCTCCTCTGCTGTCACCTCCACCACAACATCCTCTACCACCACTACTACCACCTCCACAAAGATACAAAGATCCCCTGTGTAGCCTAAGCAGACTGTTTGGACAAGAGCTGTAAGTGAGCACTATGAAGACCGGCATAGCACAAGAGGGGGGGGGGTGGGTGACCAGTACCGCGCCTGGCCGCCTTAGTCTCCGTAGTGGAGATGTTTACACACCGCATCAGGTACTCATTAGACGCTGAGTCGACTTAGGGGAGGCCCAGGACCGGTTCAGATAATCCTCACTGGTGTTGTCCGTGAGCGGGAATTGAACTCAGGTCGCCGGGTTCGCATTGCAGTGTGCCAACCGCTACACTATCGCTCCGCAACCATCTCCACAGCCACCTCTGCCACTACACGGCAGAGTGGGAATATACCCGTGCTGCCTCTGCAGGATGGGCAGCAGGAGGCGGTGCCACACCATCATTGTTGTACAGTATTTATATGCTCCCACGTGTGGGAGGCACTCGCCCAGCAGCGGAGTGACGAGTGGCTGCCCGTGTGTGCGTGGAATCTTTGCAGAGGAGCCTCGGGTGGACGTGCTCGTCAACAACGCCGGCGTGATGATGTGCCCCTACCAGAAGACGGCCGACGGCTTTGAGATGCAGCTGGGCGTGAACTACCTGGGTGAGGAGCACTAGGCAGTGTCCGTCACACCAAAAACACAAAGATCGCCCCCGTGTAGCCCACACGGGCTGTTGGGGCAAGTGCTGTTAGCGAGCAGAACCTATGAAGGGCCATCACATCGCAAGAGTGGGTGCTGTGGTCTGCACCAAGCCCAGCCACCTTTGTCTCCCCAATGCTGAGTCGACCGACCTGAGGCCTAGGACTGCTTCAGATTTTCGCCAACGGAGTTGGCCATGAGCAGGAATCAAACTCGGGTAAGCGCCACTGCTCCCCGCATGCAAAGACAAAGATCCCCCTTATAGCCTCAACAGACTGTATGAGCAAGTGTTATTAGTGAGCACCTACGAAGGCCGACACGGCACACGAGGAAGTGGGTAGCCAGTACCACGCCCAGCCGCCTTTGTTTCCCTTGTGACGATATTGACACACCGCACCAGGTACTCATTTGAGGCGAAGTCGAGCTAGGCGAGGCCCAGGACCAGTTCAGATAATCGTCACTGTTGTTGGCCATTAGCGGGGATCGATCCCGGGTCGCCGGGTTCGTAGTGCAGCACGCCAACCGCTACACTACAACTTCCCCCCATGCAACAACAACAATAACGCCATTCGCGACTAAGTGGCGGTGGCGTCACCACGACGCTTGTGCCATGCACACACGGAGACACAGACACATCATTCAATCGCCCACTCCCTCAGCGTGGCAGCAGGAACATTAAACAAATTAGCAGCGGCAGCTTTCAAGTAAAACTTGAGCCAAGTCTGTTTCTATTCAACTCTTTGTCAATCCACAGCTGGATAAAGGCCGCCCCGTGCTGTGTCAGCCTTTTGTGGAGTTGTTTTGAGCAGACAGTACTTTGTTTCGCTCGTCAGGGCAGATATGGCAAAGGGGGTGTGTGGGGCAGTGCCAGTTCAGATTTAACTGCTCGCCACCGATGTCAACCACGCCAATCGCCGCGCCTCTACTGACCTGCTGAAAATAAACGAAACTATTTAAAGAACTATTTTAATTTTTCCAGGTAAGGCCCACTGAGCTATATAGCTATTTTTAACAAGCGACCTGGCCATCACAAATGATAGCTCAACGAAGTGGCTTATCACGTGGAAATTTATAGCAGACAAATACCCCAAATGCACGTTGATTCTCAATGTTGTGGGAAAAACCGGAGGTCCCCGGAGAAAAATCCACACGAGCACTGGGAGAGAGACGTGCAAACTCCAAATATGCAGGCATCAGGGTCGCGATCGAACCCACGTGCCTCCTGCATACCAGGCGAGGGAGTTAACATCTCGCAACCGTTGCGCGCCCGTCGCGTCATCCCGCGACAGAGGAGAATCGAGCGGGGCGAGCGTTGCCTAACAGCCTCTCCCGCACGCTCCACCCTCGCCACACTCCTTCCCCCCCCCCCAGGCCACTTCCTGCTCACCCACCTCCTGCTGGACGCGCTGCGGCGCAACGGCGGGCGCGTGGTGTGCGTGGCGTCGCTCGGGCACATCTTCGGCCGCATCTCCTTCTCGGACCTCATGTCGGCGCGCTGGTACTCGCCGGGGCTCGCCTACTGCCAGAGCAAGCTGGCCCTGGTGATGTTCGTGCGGAGCCTGGCGCGCAGGCTGCAAGGCACGTAACGGCGAGGCACCACACGGCACGCGCCGCTCCCAACGGGGTGGTGGCTCAGTGGCGACACTCGTGCCTCAGAGCAACAAGGGCCTGGGTTTGATTCCTGATTCGGGCGTCTGCTGTGTGGAGTTTGCACGTTCCACCGCTCTTCCGCATTGGGTTTCCTCCCGCTTCTCTGGTTTCCACCCACAGATTTAAAAAAACCCCAACTCGCACATGCACAATGTAACTGATATTGGCCAAAACATCCCAATGCTGAAAAATTACCTGCAAATCACTCAGTCGGGTTTAAACACAGCAGCATCGCCCCCTACTAGCGTATGGCAAAGGATGTGCGTGTAATGCGTGCAGGTCTAAGCTTGTAGATGAGGCACGCGTAGAAGAGAGCGGTCGCAGCTCTGCGGCGATTGATGATGGGGCCACCGCAGTGGTTCTTGGCAGAACAGGGCCGTGCGGAGTCGTGGTGGGGTCCCCGCGGTGAGGCTTCGACGAGGAACCTCGGCGCAACGCCGCGGCGTTCACCAGCGGTCTTCAGGGCCCTCCTGAAAATAGTCACGCGGGAGGAGGCTCCGTCGCGACAATAACAACAGCGATAGTGCTTGTAAGTGCGTCAGTCGCTAACCCTCGCCCATCCCCAATGGTCTCCAGGGTGCATCTCGTACCTCACCCAGCAGTGCGATTGGGAGTCGGAATCTTTATCGTGAAGGAATCCGATGAGCTGTGAAGCTCTTTTCCCACAGATGTCCGGTATTGCAGGGTCAGCGAGTTCCATCAACAGAAATCAGAGCGATCGATCTCCCGCTGCTGCTGCTGCTGCTCACATGACCATTGAGGCATTGGTGCACATCTCTTCACAGCCCTGCAGAGCCAGTGGTGGAAATTCCACACTCCTGTAACGGGGGCCGGGTCTATCCGTACAACCACTGTTGACCTCCACGCAAAGTGGTGCTAATTTTTACCGACCCCTGGTAGGGAGGTAGGGATGATGGGCCGAGTTAACCTCCCCCGACCAGGATTCGAACGCGCATCTTGACGATTGCGAGCCACTGGCTCTCCCGCCGAGCCACGCGGCCGGTGGTTGGACGTAAGCGGCAGGGCGGCTGCTGCTGTGTGAAGCAGTGGTTCTCAACAGATAGAATGTATCGCCACAGTAGTGTATACATCACCCAGTTTAGTGGTTCTCAAACGGGGGATATGCGGACCCCTGGGGGTACGTGATGCGTGAAATTATATCATACATGAATCATTGGTGAATAGTCATGTAAGAATCTGCCAATATAAAATAACTACGATAAAATGGAAATCCAGATCGCAACCTAGAACCGTATTAAGACTTTTCTAAACTCATTCATAGTAAACAATGTGGTTTCCTGCAGTCACCAGCGAGTGCGAACACATGACGTCATCCGTGCAGATCGTCCGTTTAATTGTTTTTATTCGGTTGCAGTTACGTGCTAGCTGGGATACTGTACCTCACAAAATGGACAATTAGTTAAAATATTGATGTTCATTATTCATCTACTATTTCTCAGAACCACGTTGGGTCTGGCAAGGAGGGTGCTCGGTTAAAACGAAGGCTGAGAACCATTGATTTAAACCACCGCACACACGCACAAAGGAGCCGTCTGTAAAGACGTCACGCACCTGGAGGGGGGGGGGGGTCAGACATTTGTGACGATGTGTGACGAGGGGGGGGGGGTTGAGAAATGTGACGTCACATCAAAATGTGCAACTTTAAATAAACATAGACAACACGTTCTAGTGAATTAAATAGACTTTTTAATAAATGTTTTCTATAACATCAGAGTGCAGCGCCACGTTAAATACGCACTACAATGACAATAGTTTAAAGCGATTTGTAGCATGTTTTATTCTCAAAATGGAAATATGGTTGGGGGGGGGCAGAGCTTTGTGACGTCACATTTGAGGGGGGGTCTGACTTTTTGTGACGCCGTGTGACGAGGGGGGGGTCAAACATCGTCCAAAATCGCGTGACGTCATTTATGGACGGCCCCAAAGCTGCTACGTAGTACACAGCGGCTACAATCGCCTTTGAATATTGGCGTGCGGTAAAAGTGGTGAGGGGGGGAGCGAGGTTGCGGGCTGGTAAGTGCAGTACCTGTAGAGGCGGATCCAGAAACCTCCCAAGTTGCGGGGGGTGATTGCCCCCCCATCCCCCCCCCCCATCCTACCACTGGGCATATGCGTCAGTCCTTAAGCAGCAAGCGTAAAGGTCGCGCTCATTGTACACGAAGTGTCTGTCACGAATGAACCACAATACCTTGCTGATCTCGTCAAGGAACATGAACCATCACGCGAACTGCGGTCATCCTCGCAGTGGATGTTTGACCAACTATAGAGCACCACGAGCTTTCAGATGCGCTTCTGCGGCCGTCTGGAACGCTCTTCCGATATTAGGAAGCCACTGGAGCCGTGCCCTTTTAAATCTCGATTGAAAACTCATTTCTTGAGAACTGCTCTCTTTGTGTTTAGTTTGTTGTCCTTCCCCCCCCGCACCTCCGATTAGCGCTGCTGGCCACGTACGGTGCGAAAGAAGTTTAACACACGTACGCTTTTCCCTCGCGCGTAGGCACCGGCGTGTCGGCGTTCGCCGTGCACCCGGGCACGGTGCACTCGGAGCTTCCGCGTCACTCGAAGCTCATGACGCTGGCCTGGTGGCTCTTCTCCCCGTTCATCCGCACGGCCGAGCAGGGAGCGCAGACCTCGGTGTTCTGCGCCGTGGCCCCCGAGATATCGGCGCTGTCCGGGGGATACTTCAGGTGCGGGTGTCCGTCGGTCCGGAGCGGTGGGGGGGGGGGGGGCTCGGGGGTTAGACCACGGCGCTGGAGCCGGCTCAGAACCGTGCTGAACCTGAGCGTCAAGTCAGAATCGGTTCCACATTGAGACACTGGAGGTCGGCAGAGCTGCGTGTTCGACGGCCTGCCATGGTGGTGTTCACGTGGTCCGGGCCACACCACCCCCTCGTCTGTCATAGATGCTACTCGCTAACGGCACTTGCCCCAACAGTTTGTTGAGGCGACACAGTGGGGGGATGTGGTGCAGTACCCGTCTACGCATAACAGTGGTGACGAGTGATATGATATCTGAACCGGTCTAAAGCCTCCCAGAGATCAACTCGGCCTTAAACGAGTGGCTGTGTGGCGTGTCAACATCAGTACATCGGAGAAGAGGGCGGCCGGGCGAGGCGCCACCCATTTTCACCGTCTCGTGCGTCGCCGACGCCTCAGTCGGCGCTCGCGCAGCCTGCGGCGAATCCTGACTCTTGTTGCCAAACAGAGAGAGGCTCCTGCAGGGCAGGAGGGGGGAGGCCGATGCCGATGGAGGCGCTGCGGAACCTGACCGGGCCGGTCTCGTCTCGTTACAGCGACTGCGCCGAGGCGGCCGTGGCGTGGCAGGCTCGCCGCGACCCCACGGCGCGCAGACTCTGGGCCGAGAGCTGCCGGCTGCTGGGCGTTCGCTGGGAGTGAGCGGCGTCGCGTTCCTGGGGACTGGTCTCAAGGACCCTCCCGCCCAACAACTCGAGCACCAGCTGGGACTGCGTCGTGTGCCGCGTACACGCAGCCAGACGCACGCACGCACGCACGGGCAGATACGCACTGACACAGGCAGCTATTCATCGCAGAGGGTGGCTGCGAGCATAAATCAAACTCGGATAGCCAGGTTCGTTACGCGGGGCGCTAAGCACTGCGCCACCACTCCACCCAAAGATCCCCTGCATAGCCTTACCAGACTATAGCACCACACCCGGCCGCCTGTCTCCCTTCGTGCCAATGCGTACACACTGCACCAGGTACTCGTTTGAGGCTTAGTCGACCTAGAATAAGCCCTGGACCGGTTCGTCACTGTTAATGGTCGCAAGCGGGAATCGAACTCCGGGCGCCGGGTTCGTAGCGCGGCGCGCTAACCGTTACACTGCCGCTGCACACGCACACACCCAGACAGACGCACACGCACATTGTTTACATGGGTGGAGGCGGTGTCCGGCTAGGGCCTCGTGTCGGCTCCACGCAGCGCGTGCTCCTCCTTTCAGAGGACCGAGCGCAGGCCGCGTGGCTCGTCGAGAAACGGTCGCGTGCCATTAAACGTCGCGTCAAGGACACGAAGCTCGCGAGCGTGATGATTACGGACAGAGGCGTGCACACCGGCCACCTCATCGCTCGCCTTCCCACGGGCCACCCCCGTCGCTCATGACGAAGCCCAGGGAGCATGGGGGCAAAATGTGGCAGTGGAGGGCACGGGATCCCTTGCCAACCCCACACAGACCGGCATGGCTAATTACAATAAGGGGGCAAGAGGCTCTACGGCCAGGGATCCCATCCCGGTCCCCCGCCCCCAGCTTGAGCGTCGGAAGGGGGGGTAGAGTAGAAAGATTAGCGGGGTCCCACACACACGAAGTCCTCGCCGAGTATCGGGACTCTTGTCAGGAGGGCGCTGCTGGATCGGGATGCTTGGTCATGACTTCTGCTAGAAGTGAGAGTTTGTCCTCGGATAGTTTCAATAATACGTTGATGTGCTGCCATCTCCTGGCATACATTGCTGTGCGTACATCTGTCAGCAATGCTCTTCCCAAGTGTCTCTCCCATCCGAGCAGCAACCACGAACCAGAAGCCCGCGGAGCATTCGAGATCCGACGAGATCGCGTGCGTTCAGGGCGATTTGGTCGTGGAGCGAGAGAGAGCGGGGTGAACTATGAACTCGGCTATGTTTAACTTACCAGGTAAAGCCCACTGAGCTATATGGATATTTTTTCAGACGCGACCTGGCCACAAGTGATAGGTCAACGAAGTGGCTTATGTGGCAATGTTTAGCAGCCAAATACTCTAAATGTGGAGGGGTAAATCGGAAAAGTCCAGGCGACCACGGGGAGAAACTCCAAATATACAGATATGGTTATGGTCGGAATCGAACCCACGATCTTCCGTATACCATGCGAGTTGGTTAACATCTCGCCACCGTGAGGGAGGAATGCGGAGAGTCGGGGAAGAGAGAGAGAGGGGTGAGCACCGGGGCTGGTACTCTGTTTTAATCTTCGCTCCATCTCGCCGCGGGCAGGGGGAGACCTGGGCCCGTTCACTTCCTCACTGCAGATCTAGCTCAGAGTAACCCGGACCCAGGGCCGACCCAACCGTTCCGGGCTGGGGCCGAGCTGAGCCCCCTCCGGGACTCCCTCCATATCGACATAAATCTGTTCCACTCAACGTTCCATTCTCCACTCGCATCACACCAAGCGGCGTGCAGTAGCTATCGAGTGTGCAGGCGGTGCAACTGCGATTTTTTTCTTCGAGTGCAAGGAGCAGGGGACTGCACGTGTCCTGTAAACTGCACGTACAAAGAACGCGGCCCCGAACCCGCCGTCCGAGAGCAGGCCGCGTGGAACACCGCAACGCGGTGCGCTGTGGGGCTCGGGTGGCCGCAGTCCCTGCAATGTGTGGGGAGAGGTGGGGGGGGGGTTCATCTTTAATTTTCCACTGCACTTGTGCCCACGGGACGGAGGGGCGTGGGTGGGTGGGAATAGAAGTGGGTAAGGGGGTGGTGGGGACGGGAAGACGTGGGCGGGTGGGCGGGCGGGCGGGTGGAGGGAGCGTGGTTGGGGATGAAGTTCACGCGACTCTTTTGGACGCGACCGTGAATCGCGACCGGCCGCGCGGTTTCCACCCGCGTGAAATAAGGTCAAGAACGACGACTCCGATTCACGTACATTCTTGATCTCCACGATACATGCAGAGGCGGCGATGTCTGTCCATCCGTATACGATGCACGAATTCATCCCACCCCGAGTGGGAGATGAAAAGAGAGAGACGGGGAAAGAATATACCGCGGGGAATGAGTGACGAGAGAGAGGCTGTCACGCCGCACCACGATTGTCCGTCTCCTTGAAAGTCACGAAGTCAGGGGTCAAGTTCAAGGTCAGGGGTAGTGTTTGGGATATATCAAGGTCTGGGGTAGGGTTAGTGATTGTAATGTGACAGGGTCAGTGTCAGGGTTAGGGCTAGTGCTTGGGACGGGTCAGGGTGAAGGGATTAAAAGGGCTTCCCCTCCCCTGCTGTCCAATGCACGGAGTAGTTGCCCCGCCTGCACACTCGACAGCCGCGCACGCTGTGGTAGCCGCGACAACGCCAGGGTCAGGGCTCCGTGTCAGGCGGACGAGTCCGGGACACGCGGCTCTGGGGGAGATTCCGGCACCAGCCACATCCTCCACCTCGCCACGTACAGAGTTCGTCATAAACCGGTCCCCACAGGAGTATCTAGAGTAGACTCGCGTAGATCATGGACATTCAAACAGTGAAGGTGGCCCTGTATACCACGGTGTGCCATACGTCAGCACCGGTATGTACAAGAGTCGAGTGCACACCAGGACTTGTACACATTTACATTTTGACACCTTGGATAGACATACCTTGTACTCTAGTGGTAGTGCCTTGTGCCAATATTCCCTATGCTAAGCCAGACTTGCAGCGTTGTGTAAAATACTGAGAAAGTGAGTGCTTCTTGTGGTCCTGGCCAGGGCTGGGTTCACTGTGAGACACGCCGAGATCAACGCAGTGCGTGGACAAACGGAGACCCGGGGTCAGACCCCTTGGGGTCAGGCTTCATGGGGTCAGGGTCACCACCTGACCTGTCTGACATCGTGGTCCTCGCTGACCCTTCTGCGTCATCGCGAGCAGCAGTGGTTGCACGATAAATGGTTAACACAATCGTTAGCAGTGGCAAAGAGTTAACATGAGGTTTAACAGTGTCAACACGTGAGCAGTGGTAACATCAGCGTGAGCAGTGCTAACTCCAATGTGAGCAGTGCTAACATCAGCGTGAGCAGTGGTAACACGAGTGTGAGCAGTGGTAACTCGAGTGTGAGCAGTGGTAACTCGAGTGTGAGCAGTGTTAACATCAACGTGAGCAGTGCTAACTCCAATGTGAGCAGTGGTAACTCGAGTGTGAGCAGTGGTAACTCGAGTGTGAGCAGTGTTAACATCAACGTGAGCAGTGTTAACATCAACGTGAGCAGTGCTAACTCCAATGTGAGCAGTGGTAACTCGAGTGTGAGCAGTGTTAACATCAACGTGAGCAGTGTTAACTCCAATGTGAGCAGTGGTAACTCGAGTGTGAGCAGTGGTAACTCGAGTGTGAGAAGTGCTAACTCCAATGTGAGCTCCCCCCCCCCACCTCACCCCCCCCGAAGTCCTTTAAGGACCCCTCCTCCTAGCCAACGAGCCGTTGTTGAGCGTGGCACCGAAGACCAAACCCGTTGCACACCTCTCAAAGTTCAGCGTAACGCCGGTAACCAGATGTCGCCGGTAAACAGATGTCGCCGGTAACCAGATGTCGGCGGTACGCATCAACTCCTGGCACCCGGATGCGGTCCACCAACGCCCCAGGGTCGCCCCGGGCGGCGGTGGAACCCGGGTCACCCCGGCTAGCCCCGGGCGCTCAGTAGAGGCCCATGGTGTTGCGCTCACGGCCCGCCTCGGGCACGGCGCTGGCCACGCGCTTGCGCTGCCTCTTGACCTTGAGGAGGTCCTTGTCGAAGACGTCGCCGGAGCGGAGCGCCGACACGAGTTCGTCGAACTCGCCCTGGTCCCCGTCGGGGCCCGCGGCCGCACGGCGCGCGCTCCGCTCCCGCTCGCGTTGCTCTTTCATCTGCGGCGGCCGACAGGGGAGGCAGAATCGGAATCTTTATTTAGACTGGGGGGAAATCCGATGAGCTACGAAGCTTTTTTTTGTTATCTCGCAGATGTCGCCGTTAGGGGGCACAGGGTCAGAAAGTTACAACAACAAACAGTACAAAAAACACGATCGGAGTGCAACGTATAGGAAAGGAGAGCAAATCACTAAAGATAAATACGTAAAAGAGATAGTATATAAGTTCAAATTGTATAAGTACACCAATTCCCAAGCTTGGGCAAGGCAGTAAAACAACAGCAAGAACCGTCCCAGACCAGTTATTGCATCTGTCAAATATAATGGAATGACAACCTACCCATCAACCAAAGCCTCGACAATGTACCACATGTCACCGACTCAACTCCCGATCCTCCTTCTGGGATGGCACTGTCACCACCCGAGAATCTCGCCCCAGAGGCGCAGAGACTCGTCCACTCCCTCCGAGAACCAGGGGGTCCTCTGATGGTCTCCCCTCTATCTCTCTCCGAGAACCAGGATCTCCGGTCCTCGTTGTCGCCCTTTGCAGTGAAGCTGTCAGATTTTTTCGTACTTTTATTCTGGCCACATTGTGCCACGAGATGGAGGCGATTTCCATTGCCGTGCGGCTGCGGAGGAGAACGCCTGGCTGAGCCAGCGCTACTAAAATCCGGATTTCGGCCGCCCGCGGTTAAACCGGGGTGCCCCCCCCCCCCCCCCAGCGTGGCCAGTTTACGGCCTCGGCCTGTAAACATCACTCGCCACAGTGGCGAGATGTTATCTCCCTCGCCTGGTATGCAGGAGGTCGTTGGTTCTATCCTGACCCTGACACCTGCTGTATATGTCGAGTTTGCATGTTCTTCCCGCAGTTGCGCGAGTTATTCTCCAGGTCCTCCAGTTTTCCCCTGCACATTTATAAACACGAGTTTAGATTATTTGGCTGCTATAAATTTGCATGTGATAAACCACTTCGTTGAGCTATAATTTGTGGCCAGGTTGCTTCTTAAAAATAGTTATATAACTCAGTGGGTTGTACCTCCAACACACCGGTGTGCTGTACTTGTGACGAATTGGCACATTCTGTTTACGTGACAACCCTTACTAGTTGGCTGTGTCGGTGGTGGTGGGTTTTAACGACACATTTAGATATTTATGCGATCTAACCCAAAAACCTCTATTATGGATAAAATAAAATAGTTAACACTCGCGTTTGATTCAGGTTTTTACTCAAACTGCCTCGATTCCACCTTTCAGTTCCTCAACGATCACAAACACTAAGCCATTTGTGGCCTCTCACTCTTGATCCGAGCCCTGAGTTGATCTCTGACCCGACCCCTCTACCCGTGTGCGACCCACCTGTGCGTCGAGGCGCGCCCTCTTCTCCTCCTCCTCCCTCTTCTTCCTCGAGTCCTCCAGCTCGTGTTGGGCCTCAGTGAAGGCCTGCAGGAACGTGTCCAGGATCCCGAAAAACTCCTCGGGCTGCGAGCGGCTCGCATCCTCCCCAAAGTGGCCCACGGCCCAGTTGAACTGAGCCCGTGGGGGTGGGGGGGGGGGGAGAGGGGGGGGAGTAACGGAGGGATACAGAAAGCAGAGCGACAGGGGGAGAGAGAAGGGAGAGCGAGAGAGGCGGCAGGGGGGATATAGGGGACAAAAGATGGGGAGAGAGGGGAAAAGGAAGTGGGCAGGGGAAGGGAGCAGGGGGGGGGGGAAGTGATGGGGAATGGTGGGGGAGGGAGGTGGAAGTGTGAGGGGGAGAGGAAATGACAAACGGGAAGGGGGAGACAAAGGGGGACGAGAGAGGGGTGGCGGTTACTTGAGGAAAGACACTGTACAGGTTCCTGTACACACCTGTTGCTGCGGTAGTTGTGTTACAGTGGAAGCTCTGATAGCTGCAGCAGTGCAGTTGTGATAGTGTTGCTTTGGTAGTGTAACTTTGGTAGCTCTGCGGAAGTGTAGCTGTGGTAGCTGTAGCTGTGATAGCGATAGCTGTATTTGCGAAAGCTGTATCTGTGGTAGCTGCAGTAGCTGCGGCAGCTGTGGCAGCTGTCGCGCGGCACCTACCTTCTGCTTGGCGTCGCACAGCGCCTCCTCGAGCTCGGAGAAACGGTAGCTGCCCACGTTGATGAAGCTCGTCATCACGGGGACGAACCTATCCCCCTGGCCCGATGGGTTGGCGCGCTGGTACACCAGCTCCTGGGGGGCAAGGGGCACCGAGTCAGGATGGGGGGCTCATCGCTGGGGGGCCCTCGCCACATCAATAAGGGCTGTTCCTGGTGGTGCGGGAGTGGAGTGGGGGGGGGGCTCCCCCACGGTATGGGGTCAAGGGGTCACAGGGGTCGTGCTGGACAGGACCAGTGCTCATGGCACCACCTGTGCTGGGTAGCTGTGAACTAGGTCCTGGGTGATATCCTGGGTGCTGTGCTGGGTGCTACCCTGGGTAGCACCCTGGGTGCTACCCAGGGTGCCACCCTGGGTGCCGTCCTGGGTGCCGTCCTGGGTAGCACCCAGGGTGGCACCCTGGGTGCTACCCTGGGTGCTACCCTAGGTGCCGTCCTGGGTGCCACCCTGGGTACTGTTGTAGCTGCTGTGCACTGGTGTCACCACTCACGTCCTCGACGCTTTTGAGCTCCTTCTTGATGTTGTTTATTTCCTTTTCCAGCTCCACAAAACTGTGGGGGGAGGGGGGTGGTGAGGAGGGGGGGGATTACGAATGAAATTGAAGATAATAGGCAAAGCAGATGTCCGTCTCTAGGAGTCTGCGTGTGTCCGACCACGTGTCCATCCACGTGACATCCATTTGGTTATCTGTGTGTCCGTCCGGGTGTCGGTCCGCTTGACCCTCGATGTGTCGGTCTCTGGTGTAGTGCGCAGGCCGTACTTGACCCTGGCGGCATCCGGTATGTGTTGGAGGTCAGAACGCAGGGCCAGCACTCCGCGGAAGTGTCGCTCCAGCACTGTGATGAGGTAGTGCAGCAGGGTGATGTTCCTGCACGAGACACGGTGAGGGGGGTGGGGGGGGGCACGGTGAGGGGGAGGGAGTGTCCACGTCCCCACCGACTGCGAGATCCGTGTAGATAGAGGCAACGCGGCACGCGGGGAGTAATGAGGATGGATGTTTATATTGCTGGCAGTGGTGGTGGTTACTGCTGCTTACTCAGAGGAGGAGTTGGAGGCGCTGCTGCTGAACCTGGAGCGTGCCACGAAGAGGTGGGGTCATCAGCCCCACCAAAGCTAAGCACCTGCCTGGGTATTTTGTGCCATCGGACATTCCACCCCCAAAACTCCCAATTGGTGATGGGGCAGTTGTGATGAGAGTGGAGAGTTTTCCATACCTGGACAGAATGCTCATGACCGGCTCCGATTTGACAGCAGAGGCATCACTACGAGTCAGTCGAGCGGCATTATCTTTTTATCGGCTGCGTAACGCTGTGTGAAAGCTACCTGGTCTCTCGCTCCACACAAAGCTTTGGGTTTTCTCGGCCACGGTCATCCCTTCCCTTCTCTACGCTTGCGAAGCGTGGCCCCCTCTAATGGAACATCTTCGCCGGTTAGAAACATTTTGGCTGGCCTGCCTACGATCCATCCTGTGCTTAACCAGGTTGGATTGTGTGAGAGCTCAGAAATCCTTGTAAGATCTGGGAAAAGTCCCATCGCCAGGCAAGGCTACGTTGGCTGGGTCATGTAGCCCGCATGCCCAGCCACCGTATGCCCAAACAGCTTTTGTTCGGCCGGATAGAGGGGGCTAAACGGGCGCGGCACGGGCTAGAGAAGAGATGGAGTGATGTGGTACAGGAGGACGTGGAGCTGAGTGGACTTGCCGATGACTGGTACCAGCGGTGTCAAGATCGTCCTCTGTGGAGGAGGCTGATGAAGGACGCTGTTGGGCAGTTGGAGGCAGTCGCCCTCCAACAACAACGGAGGGCGAAGGAGCGATGCTCACAACAATGAGCAGAGCGTCGGGTGGCTAAAACACAGCAAGTTGGCACAGTAGGGGGAACAGGTGGTGCATCGGCCAGTCGTCTCAGTCGACCCATGGCACCTGGGTCTGTCCCGTGACCTGCCAGCGGGCGTTCAACACTTCATGTGGCCTTAACGTGCATATAGTCTGGCACAAGCACCTTGGTGACGTCACCGCCACTTAGGGGCGAATGGCGGTTGTTGTTCTTGTTGGCGGTTGTGGTTACTTCAGTAGTGGCGGTGGTTACTGTGGTGGTTACTGTAGTGGTGGTTACTGTAGCGGGGGTGGTTACTGTGGTGGTGGGGGTTGCTGTGGTGGTGGCGGCAGTTACTGTGGTGGTGGCGGTGGTTGCTGTGGTGGTGGTGGCGGCACCTGTCAGTGCTGGACTTGGTGTCGGCGATCTTGTTGAGGCTGCCGATGCGGAAGCCGAACGCGTTCCCTCGCTGGCCTTTGTTCATGAAGTTTCCGAACGCGAGGACGACCTCCAGGAGCTGTCGCAGACTTTCACAGCTCAGCGCCTCGCGCGACGCTTCCAGCACCGCTACCCAGACAACGACAAAGACCCCCCGCCACCCCGTGCAGCTTTTACACACTCCAGAGGCGAGCGCTGCTCTTAGCGCCGAGCGCCGTCGAAGTCCGGCACGCGAGGGGGTGAATTGCAGGCAGCTCACACCCTGCACAGCCAAGCACGCGCACTCACGTTTACTCACTCACTCGTTGGTTCACTTACTCACTTGTTCACTCACTCACCCACCCACTCAGATCTTCACTCACATCTTCACTCACTCACATCTTCACTCACTCACTCGTTCACTCACCCATCCACCCACCCACTCTCAAGTTCACTCACCCACTCACATCTTCGCTCACTCAGACTCACTCGTTCACTCACCCACCCACCCACTCACATCTTCACTCACATCTTCACTCACAGACTCACTCACTCGTTCACTCACCCACCCACCCACTGACATCTTCACTTACATCTTCGCTCACTCAGACTCACTCACTCGTTCACTCACCCATCCACCCACCCACTCTCAAGGTTCACCCACCCACTCACATCTTCGCTCACTCAGACTCACTCACTCACTCGTTCACTCACCCACCCACCCACCCACTCAGATCTTCACTCACATCTTCAATCACAGTCTCACTCACTCGTTCACTCACCCATCCACCCACTCTCAAGTTCACCCACCCACTCACATCTTCACTCACTCACAGACTCACTCACTCGTTCACTCACCCACCCACTCGCTCGCACACCGACTTAGATAAAAAAAGAAACGCGCTCCCAGTGAGAAGGGTGAGGAGGGTGACGAGGGTGAGGAGAATTAGGAGGGTGAGCTGGGTGAGGAGAGCAAGGAGGTTGGGCAGAGTGAGGAGGGTGAGGAGAAGGGTGGGTGAGGAAGGTGAGAAGGGTGGGCGAGGAGGGTGAAGAGGGTGGGTGAGGGAGGTGGGTGAGTAAGATGAGGTGGGTGGGTGAGGGAGGTGGGTGAGGAAGGTGAGTGAGGTGGGTGAGGAAGGTGAGTGAGGTGGGTGAGGAGGGTGAAGAGGGTGGTGAGGAGGGTGAAGAGGGTGGGTGAGGGAGGTGAGAAGGGTGGGTGAGGAGGGTGAAGAGGGTGGGTGAGGGAGGTGGCTGAGAAGGGTGAGGAGGGTGAAGAGGGTGGGTGAGGGAGGTGAGAAGGGTGGGTGAGGAGGATGAAGAGGGTGGGTGAGGGAGGTGGCTGAGGAGGGTGAGGAGGGTGGTGAGGAAGGTTGGTGACTACCTTCCACCTTGGGTTTGCACTCCTCCACGCGCTCCGCAAACTTCTTCTTGAAGTAGAGCGCCTGAAGCCGCTGCTGGTAGTGGGGGATTCTGGGGGGGGGGGGGGGGGAGGTGTCAACTCTCACCATGCCAGTGGAGCGGTGCGATGTGCGTTGTGTGGCATGGAGTGGTGCGAGTGGTGTGGTGTGTGTGGTTTGCGTGGTGTGGTGCGCTGTGAGTGGTGTGGTCTGCGTGGTGTGGTGTACATGGTGTGGTATGCGTGGTGTGCTGTGAGTGGTGTGGTGTGCATGGTGTGGTTTGCATGGTGTGGTGCGCTGTAAGTGGTCTGCATGGTTTGCACGTTGTGGTGTGCATGGGGTGCTTTGCGTGTTGTGCGTGGCGTGAGTGGTGTAGTGCGAGTGGTATGGTGTGCATGGTGTAGTTTACGTGGTGTGAGTGGTGCGAGTGGTGCGAGTGGGGTGTTGTGCATGGTGTGCATGGTGTGAGTAGCGTCAGTGGGGTGCGTGGTGTGGTTTCCGTGGTGTACTTGGTCTGCGTGCTGTGGTGGGACCCGCACCGGCTCATGTCGAAGAGGAAGCGGTCTGCCCGGGCCATGCGCTCCGTCTCATTCTTGTGCTCCTCCAGCAGGTCCACGTCACTCTTCTCCGGCACGAATTTCAGCAGCTGGGGGCAGATATGGGTGACCCGGTGACCCCGTGACCCCGCTACCCCAGTGAGTCAGACTTCCACACCTGACCACGAGGTAACGGGGCGCACGTGTGTGCGTGTGCGTGTTCGTTTTTACATCCATTTTGACCGTGTAGTTTGTGAAGCCTTCGATGGCTGTACCAGAGGAATTTCCATCTGGTACAGATACAGGGGTGGCTGATCGATGCCAGGGTGCGATCAAGGGATGGCTCCCTATTGGTCAACCATGTTATGTATGCTGATGATCTGTTGATTGCTGCTCACTCAGAGGAGGAATTGGAGACGCTGCTACTGAACCAGGAGCTTGCCACCAAGAGGTGGGGCCTTACCATCAGCCCCACCAAAGCTAAGCACCTGCCTGGGTATTTTGTACCATTGGACACTCCACCCCCACAACTCACAATTGGTGATGGGACAATTGTGGAGAGAGTGGAGAGTTTTCCACACCTGGGCAGTGTGCTCATGACCGGCTCCGGTTTGACAGCAGAGGTCTCACTCCTAATCAGTCCAGCGGCATCTGTTCATCGGCTGTGTAATGCTGTGTGGCAGCTACCTGGTCTGCCCCTCCACATGATGCTTTGGGTCTTCTTGGCCACGGTCACCCCCTCCCTTTTCTATGCTAGCAAAACGTGGACTCCCTGAATGGAACATCGTCACCGGTTAGAAACATTTAGGCTGGCCTGCCTACGATCCATCCGGGGTTTAACCAGGCTGGATTGTGTGAGGAGCTCACAAATCCTTGAAAGTTCTGGACAAAGTCCCATCGGTAACTCCTCCGGCAGGCAAGGCTGCGTTGGCTGGGTCATGTAGCCCGCATGCCCAGCCACCACATGCCTAAACAGCTTTTGTTTGGCCGGATCGAGGGAGCTAAAATGGTGAAGCACGGGCTAGAGAAGAGATGGAGTGATGTGGTACAGGAGGACGTGGAGCTGAGTGGACTTGCCGATGACTGGTACCAGCGGTGTCCGGGTAGCTAAAGTGTAGAAAGTTGGCACAGTAGGGTGTTACAGCTGGTGGTGCATCTACCGGTCATCTCAGTCAGCCAACCCATGGCTCCTGCTGGGTCTGTGCCGAGACCTCCTGTCAGCGAGCCTTCGACACTTCACGTGGCTTCAAAGTGCACCTAGCCTGGCGCAGGTGCTGTGGGGACGTCACCGTCACCTCGTGGCCAATGGCGGTTGTATTGGTATTGGTGTGAGAGTGAGAGAGTGAGTGAGTGAGAGCCCCACCTGCTCCAGCATGTCTTTGGGGAGGTCTTCGTGCTCGTCCATCTGCATGACCGCGCGCTTGATCTCCTCGTTGGTCAACTTCAACCTGAGGTGAACGTGGCATCAACAACATCAACGACATCAGCAACGTCAACAATATCACCACTACCACCAACAATAACATCACCACCACCAACATCATCATCATTACCGTCACTAACATAAGTAACATAAACACCGTTATCAACACCACCACCAACAACATCATCACCACCACCAACTTCAACATCACTGCCAACAACAACAATATCTGTAACATTAACAACATCAGTAGCATAAATAATTATAACCACCACCGAAACCACCGGTTACATCAACACCACAGGTACCACCAACACCACCGTAACATCAACACCACCAATACCACCGGCAACATCAACAACACCAATATCACCAGTAACATCACGACCATCAACACCACCAACATCACCGGCAACATCAACACCGTCAACACCACCATAACTTCAACACCACCAACACCACCGTAACATCAACACCACCAACACCACCAACACCAGCAGTAACATCAACACCACCAACACCACCGGTAACATCAACACCACCAACACCACCGGTAACACCAACAACACCATCACCACCGACACCACTGGTTAACATCAACACCACCAACACCACCGGTAACACCAACAACACCATCAACACCACCGGTAACACCAACAACACCATCAACACCACCAACACCACCGGTAACATCACGACCATCAACACCATCAACACCACCGGTAACATCAAAACCACCAACACCACCGGTAACATCAACACCACCAACACCACCTTAACATCAACACCACCAACACCACCGGTAACACCACTATCACCAACACCATCAACACCATCGGTAACATCAACAACACCAACACCACCAGTAACACCAACACCATCAACACCACCGGTAACATCAACACCACTGGTAACATCACCTGTAACATCAACATCACCGGTAACATCAACACCACCGGTAACATCAACACCATCAACACCACCAACACCACCGTAACATCAACACCACCAACACCACCAACACCATCAACACCACCAACACCACCGTAACATCAACACCAGCAACACCACCGGTAACATCAACACCACCATCGGTAACACCAACACCACCAACACCACCGGTAACATCAACACCACCAACACCACCAACACCATCAACACCATCAACACCATCAACACCACCATCGGTAACACCAACACCACCAACACCACCGGTAACATCAACACCACCATCGGTAACACCAACACCACCAACACCACCGGTAACATCAACACCACCAACACCATCAACACCACCAACACCATCACCGCCATCGGTAGCAAGGCCCCAGGCGACCCCCCCCCCACGCACTTAGAAAGGAGGATGACGCAGTTCTGGGCCCTGCGCCCGTCAATGACGCTCAGCTCCTTGGCCTTCCGGCTCGCGTTCAAGATGTCCTCCGTCGAGCCCACGTGATCCCTCTGGTGGGGGGAGAGGGGGGGGCAACAGCTCAACCCCTGCGGTGACGGAGGAGATGGTGGTGATGATGACGTTGCTTGTGGTTCAGACGATAGTGGGGATGGTAATGTCGATGATGACGCTGATAATGACAGTGGCGTTCATGTTGACGGTTGCTGATGATGATACCGGTAGCTGATAGGATGGTCACGATGATGATGATGGTCCTGGTCGGTGACGAAGACAACGATGAAAACGATGATGATGGTGCCCGTGCTCGAGATGCCGATCGTGGTCAAACAACGTGCGTGAGCGTCACACGGGTGCGGGGAGGCTTTGATCCAGCAGCGGAGTAACACAGAACTCTGCGTTATCGAGCACAGTCGATCATTGATTATATTATCCGGGGGCTTTGGGGAGGAGGAGGGGGCGCTGGCTTTTCAAAAACGCCGGATAATCAATCATCATTATTTAAAATAGCGTATTTTTGCACATTGTCACGTGACATACTTTTCTAGTGTTTTAAATTAGTTGACACTGAAATTGGCATGAACATACAAACTGGCAAAAATAAAAATCCTACTTTAAAAAGTTACTTTATTTACTGTACCATACTTACCACTCCAGTATCGAAGGCTCTGCACACGGGCGATGTATATACATCCAGTATTGTGATTGTTTAAGTTGAATGTAGTGTATAATGTACCATATGTAATATTTAACACTGTAATCAAGCATTGCTACTTTTTTTTTACCACGCACACTGTGCCGATGGCCGGATTGATTATAGCCTTTGGAGCGGTTTTGCCGGCTTCGCCAGATCGGCCCGGGACCTCTGGATTTATGTTGGAAGCCGGATAACCGATGATCAAGTGTACTATAAATAGGTTTTTACCCTTTTATCTGGCACCAAAACCGACACCTTTATACAAGGGATCATGTTTGCAATAACCACAACACAAGCAGTCAAAACGCAAACAAAAAGAGACAACTCTGATAATGATTTGCACTGTCCTTGAAATTGATTGGTCCACACCCGAGACGGCTTTTCTTAGGGCCAAGTCTCCACTGGTGTTGGACCAGATGACGCCAAAAGGCATACCACTAAAAAAAGCGCACTATCAGAGTATTGAGAGCTCGGGATAAGCATTTACATTATGAGACCTCCTTTGCCAGTAGCGAGATATAGTAATAGGTTTTTACCCTTTTATCTGACACCAAAACCGACACCTTTATACAAGGGATCATGTTTGCAATAACCACAACACAAGCAGTCAAATGCAAACAAAAAGAGACAACTCTAATAATGATATGCACTGTCCTTGAAATTGATTGGTCCACACCCGAGATGGCTATTCTTAGGGCCTGGTCTCCATTGGTGTTGGACCAGATGACGCCAAAAGGCGTCATTGATAATATTGATAAAAACGGCGGTGATGGTGGTGAAATGATGGTGACGATGATGATTGTGACGACATTGGCCAGTGTGCACCTGAGGCTTCTGGTAGGCCGAGAAGGTCTTCTCCAGGTCCTCCAGATCCAGGATCTTGAAGACTTTGAGGTCATCGATCTCGTTCCACACCGTGTCGCCGAGCTTGTTCTGCGGTCCGGAGGGATTCACGACTCGGGAGGCGTTCATTCACGAACTCGTCACCAATCAACCAATCACGAATCGACATATCACCACGCCATCGTTTCCCTGCACCTGCAGCTGTCCTCTGATGACCCCTGCCAACCCCCCACCCCTCCACCCCTCTCCACCCCCTCACCTCAGGCAGCTTGGTCCAGTTGAAGGACTTGAGGGGCTGCGACGGCTGTGGGAGGTTCTTCCTCTTGGCGGTGCCCTGGCCGCTCATCCCCGGCAGGGGAGGAGCCCCGGGTGGGCCCCCCGGGGGAGGGGGAGGCGGGGGGGGAGGGGGTGGCCCCCCGCCGGGGGGCGGTGGTGGCCCCGCGGGGCCCCCCAGGGCGGAAGAGGCGAGGGAGCCGTCCTGCCCGGGGCTGCCGGGGGCCAGGCCACCGGGCACCGCTCCCTGCGGGCACACGGGCCGCACGCACACGGGTTTATCATCACCGCCTCCACGGGGTGGGGGGGGGGGGGTCACAATACCTTAAATCGCCCCACCCACCCACCCACCCCACGCCTCCACCCCCGCCCCCCCTCCCACACCCATGCATCCCTAAAGGTTAACGAGGTCAGGGTCCCAGGGATCAGATCGGGGTCCCTGCACCCGGCCATGTTACGGTCCTTGAGGTCATTGCAGCATTTCTGAGACTCGGGTCCGAGTCAGGATTGCTTATGGTCAAGGATAGTGTTACTCAAGGTTAGGGTTATTAGGGATCAGGGCTGTTAAGGGTCAAGGTTAGGGTTTCTCAGGGTCAGGGTTGCTCAGGGTCAGCCTTACTCGGGGTCAAGGTCATGATTGTTAGGGGTCAGGGTTCAGGGTTGCCGGGGGGTCAGGAGGTCACCGTGCGGGCCAGCTGTGCGGCGAGCGCGGCGGCCTGCTCTCGGGCGCGGCCCAGCTCCAGGCTCTCGCGCTCGAGGCGCTCCTTCATGCGGCCCAGCAGTCCCTCCAGCTCCTCCTTCTCCTGCGTCTTGGCGTCGCACTCGCGCTCCTTGCGCTCCAGGCGGCCCTGCACCTCCCCGTGCTCTACCCGCGGTGGGATCGCGGGGTCACGTCGATCACAGGGGTCACAAGACGGCGTCACGATGCATGGGGTCACGTGGGGGTTATTACGTGTGGGGGGGGGGGGTTAGGGGGGATCAAACGGGCCTTAGTAAATACGGGGTCACGTGGGGTCAAATACGATTAGAACTCGCAGGGGTTGGATAGGGTCACAACACCTGGAGGTCACGGTCCCCTCACTCCGCTACCCACGTCCCACCTCCTCACCTTTCCTCATCTTCTCCGCTTGCTCTTTCCACTGCTTCACTTCGCCTTCATTCACCAACCTGGGAGAACAGCGGACGTGCGGTAAGGACGTGCGGTGAGGAGATCGGTGAGGAGAGCGGAGGCGTGGTTTGCATGTCATGTGTGATGCTGTTCTCTGGGTGTGGTGTGCGTGGCGCAGTTTGCTCTGCATTGTGTTGTCTGAGAAGAGGTTTTCCCCTTTTTTTCTGGCCACAAAACAGACGTTGAGATGTTAAAACACCAAACTGAAAACTTTTACAAGGAATCGTGTCCGCATTAACCACAATACCTGTGGTCAGAATGCAAATATAATAAAATACTTATAATATATTGGCATTGTCTTTGAAACTGATTGGTCCACACCAGAGACAGCTTTCTTTTGAGCCTCGTCTCAATCCATATATTATCAGAGTATTTTTTTATTTGCATTCTGACCACAAGTATTGTGGTTAATGCGGACATGATTCCTTGTAAAAGGTTTCAGTTTGGTGTTTTAACAACTTAACACAACCGTTTTTGTTGCCAGAAAAAAGGGGAAAACCTATTCTCATATTTTGGTACTGACAAAGGAGGTCCCATGATGTAGTTGTGTTGCCGGTTGTGCTGTATGCTGTGCAGCGTGCTGTGTGCTGATCTTATCTTAAAATAATTTATATAATGCCTTATCCTGGGCACATTACACAGAATTAATAATAGTGCATATTAATGTAATGGTGGAGATGAGGTTAATTAAATAGATGAGAGGAAGCAATGGGAACATCTGTGATGCGTGAAATCAGTGAAAGTGTGCTGTGCTGTGCAATGTGCTGTGTGGTGTGCTGTGGAGTGTGCTGTGTGGTATGCTGTAGTGTATGCCGCACCACGTGGTGTGCTGCGCCATGTGCTGTGTGGTGTGCTGTGGAGTGTGCTGTGTGATATGCTGTAGTGTATGCTGCACTGCGTGGTGTGCTGTGCAATGTGCTGTGGAGTGTGCTGTGTGGTATGCTGTAGTGTATGCCGCACTGCGTGGTGTGCTGTGCCATGTGCTGTGTAGTGCTGTATTCTGCGTTGCGTGGTGTACTGCGTGGTGTGCTGTGCACCGCGTGGTGTGCTGTGCACCGCGTGGTGTGCTGTGCACCGCGTGGTGTGCTGTGCACCGCGTGGTGTGCTGTGCTGTGCACCGCGTGGTGTGCTGTGCTGTGCACCGCGTGGTGTGCTGTGCTGTGCACCGCGTGGTGTGCTGTGCACCACGTGGTGTGCTGTGCAGTGCACCACGTGGTGTGCTGTGCAGTGCTGTGCACCACATGGTGTGCTGTGCACCGCGTGGTGTGCTGTGCACCGCGTGGTGTGCTGTGTGATGTGCTGCGAGGCAGTCCCCACATGCGCACGATGTTCTTGACGTTGAAGTTGTCTAGGGGTGCTATGTCCGGGTCCTCCCCACGTGGGCCCTGCAGCACCATCTGCTGCACCAAGCGATCGAGCAGCTGCCAGTGCTGCACCGTAGTGCCCACCTTCTTGTCTGCACCACCACCACCACCAACATCACCATCATCAACATCACCGGTACCATCATCACCACCACCACCGTCATCATCATCATCAATAACACCACCACCAACATCACCATCATCAACATCACCGGTACCATCATCATCACCACCGTCGTCGTCATCATCATCAATAACACCACCACCACTATCATCAACATCACCATCACCGGCAACATCATCAAAATCACCATCACTATCCCCGGCACCACCACCACCACCACCGCCACATTCATCATCAACATCACCTCCACCACCATCAACATCACCGGCACCATCATTGTCACCATCACCATCGTCGTCATCACGAGCCATCGTTCGTCAGCCTCGTGCGACGCCTGCCCCACTCACAGGGCATCTGCAGGCAGTGGAAGAGGATGGACATGAGGTGGGGGTACGCGTCCGTGAAGCTCAGCTTCTTCCGGATTGCCTCGAACATCTGCCCCGCGCTCCGCGTGTCGATGTGCGTCTGAGACATGGGGGGCGGGGGGCAGTGGGGGGGGGGGGGGGGGCGTGTTAGATTGAAACCCGGGCTCCACGCTGGGGCACGCTGCTCGAGGCCGGTAGGGGGAGGGGAGGGGGCAGTGAACGCCGGTCCTCACCGTCTCAAACCTTCGCGCGATCTCCGCCTCGTCCTCGTTCCGCGACATCTCGAAGAAGTCCAAGTGCCTGCGTGGGCGCATGCAGACGCACAGACACACACAACGCTTACAAAGATCCCCCGTAGAGCCTTAACAGACTGTTGGGGCAAGTGCTGTTCGCGAGCACCCTATGAAGGTCGGCACGGCACGTGACGGGGTGGGTGGCTGGCACCACGCCCGACCGCCTTTGTCTCCATAGGGGGCGATGTTGACACGCCGGACCAGGTACTCATTTGAGGCTGAGTCGACCTAGGGGAGGCCCGTGACCGATTCAGATAATTGTCACTGGTGTTGGCCGTGAGCGGGAGTCGAACTCGGGTAGCCGGGTTCATAGCTCAGTGCGTTAACCACTGACTATCGCTCCCCAAGTCAAAGACAAAGATCCCCCGTATAGCCTCTTGAATGCACTTAGGGCAAGTGCTGTTCGGGAGCACCTATGAAGGCCGGCACGACACGCGAGGGGGTGGATGGCCAGCACCACGCCCGGCCACATTTCTCTCCCTAAGTGGCGATGTTTACACACTGCACCAGGTACTCATTTAAGGTTGAGTCGACCTAGGAGAGGACCATGACCAATTCAGATAATGGTCACTGGTGTTGGCCGTGAACGGTTATTGAACTCGCGTCGCCGGATTCGTAGCGCAGCGCGCTAACCACTACCGCTCCCCATACACACACATGGACACACAGACACAGACACGCAAAGGGGGCTGAACGTCTACGTGCACACATCGCTCACCCGGCCAGAGACACCCAGCACCCGGGTGTCATTTCTCTCTGGGATTCCGGTTGGAACTGGAGAGAGCCGGGAGGCGGCAGGCGACCAGCAGCCACGGCGAGAAGCATACTGGATGCGGCGTGCCGTGTGTACGGTGGGCCTGGGGGTGAAGGTGGAGGCGGGTGGGGGAGGGGGGGCGCACCTGTCGAGAGTGGCGTTCTCGTGCACGCGCAGCGCGTCGATGAGCGGCTGCAGGCCCAGCATGAGGAGCTCATAGCGCAGGTGCAGCCGGAACTCCAGCTTCTCCTGGCTCGCACAGCGAGGGTCACGCTTGGGTCACGGTGGGGTCACGGAGTTATGGGGTCAAGTTCACGTGTCGCAGGGTCAGGGTAGTGGGTTTAGAGTTGACGTTCTGGTTGGTGCGAGGGTTGGAGTGAGGGAGGGGATGGGGAGGGATTAGGGAGGGATGGGGGGTGGGGGGCCCTACCTTCCCGGGCCCCGCGTTGAGCACGGCGTTGAAGAAGGACATGATGGCCGTCTTGAGGCCGAGTTCCTGGCGGTAACGTCCCGTGTTGCGCGCGAGGTCACTCATTAGAGTCTGCGGGAGAATCAGGAGAGTCGTGCACCACGAGAGCCTCGCTGATTTTGCGAAGCCTTTGGTCATCGAGTTGCAGCAGACATTAACGAAACACAAAACGTAAACAATGCGACGATGATAATGATGACAATGACGGTGACAATGACGGTGACAATGACGGTGACAATGACGGTGACAATGACGGTGAGTGGTGCCCAGAGGAGCCCCGAGTCGACTCAAGAGAGCCGGGACGCGTCGCGAGACGGGAGGAGAGGCACGCGGGACGAAGAATGGTGACGAAGGTGGAAGCACCGAGAGAGTGCCGATGACGGCGACGGTAGCGACGACGGTGACGGTAGTGACGACGGCGACGATGCCGGCGAGGACCGTGACGGTGGCGGCGACGCGTAGCGCAGCGTCGAGCGTGGCGTCACCTGGAATCGCGTGCGCTCGCTGGCGAACTCCTGGAAGTTGACCATGGCCTGCAGCACCTTGCGGTGGCCTCCCGGCACGAGGCAGAGCGCGCCCAGGATCTCGAGCGCGGCCACCTTGGTGCGCGGCGCGTCCACGGCGAGGCTGCGCGCGATGGCATCCACGGCGGTGGGGTGGGCCAGGACGTGAGCGCGGCCCTGCGCGTTGTTCATCAGCGCCTTGACGCAGCCGATGGCGGCGGCGTGCGCGGGCCCCGACGCTGTGTCCTCGTCCATGCGCTCCAGGAAGTGCAGCAGCGCCGAGAGGCCGTCCAGCTCCATGAAGCGCGTCACGAAGCTGCGTGTGCGCGCGTGCGTGCGCGTGCGTGTGTGCCCATGCGTGTACGTGCGTGTGTGCCCATGCGTGTGTGTGTACGTGTGTGTGCGCGCGTGCGTGCGCGCGTACGTGCGTGTGTGCCCATGCGTGTGTGTACGTGTGTGTGTGTGTGTGCGTACACGTGTGCGCGTGTACGTGCGTGTGTGCCCATGCGTGTGTGTGTACGTGTGTGTGCGCGTACACGTGTGCGCGTGTATGTGCGTGTGTGCGTGTGAGCCCATGCATGTGTACGTGTGTGTGTGTGTGTGTGCGTACACGTGTGCGCGTGTGTATGTGTGTGTACGGAGCAGTGCGGGGGTGCAGAAGCACAGTGGTTAGCCCCCTGATGACGCAAGTTCGACCGATAACGGTGGCGAATATATTTGAACTGGTCTTGAGCCTCCCCTAGGTCGACTGAGCATTAAATTAGCACCTGGCGGGGTGTAAGGTGCCAGCATGTGATGTGTAAGCAAAGGTGGCAGGGTGTGGTGCTGGCGACCCACCCCGTCGTGTTAACTTACGGCACTCGTCCCACCCAACAGCCTGTGTAGGCTGCACGGGGGATCTTGTGTGTGTGTGTGTGTGCGAGACCCAAGCAGGAGATGTGAGGATGAGGTGAGGATGAGGTGAGGATGAGGGTTCAGAGAGAGAAATTAAGAGAAGGTGTGAAGAGTGAGAGAGTCGGAGAGATGAGGTGAGAAGAGACACGGTGAGGACCATTGAGGACATGGGTGCAGGGTGTCATTGTGCAGGGTGTCATTGTGCAGGGTGTCATTGTGCAGGGTGTCATTGTGCAGGGTGCAGAGTGTCATTGTGTAGGCTGTCGAAGGTGCAGGGTGTCGCGGGGTGCAGGGTGTCGGGGTGCAGGGTGCCGGGGTGCAGGGTGTCGGGGTGCAGGGTGTCGGGTGCAGGGTGTAGGGTGCAGGGGTGCAGGGTGTCGGGGTGTCGGGGTGTAGGGTGCAGGGGTGCAGGGTGTCGGGGTGCCGGGGTGCAGGGTGTCGGGGTGCCAGGGTGCCGGGGTGCAGGGTGTCGGGGTGCCGGAGTGCAGGGTGTCGGGGTGCCGGGGTGCAGGGTGTCGGGGTGCCGGGGTGCAGGGTGTCGGGGTGCAGGGTGCAGGGTGCCGGGGTGCAGGGTGTCGGGGTGCAGGGTGCAGGGTGTCGGGGTGCAGGGGTGCACCGGATGGGCTGGGTACGCAGCGCCGTCTTGAGTCCCTCCACCACCTGTGCGCGCTCCGCCTGCTCCTCGGGGCTGTAGCCACTCACCGAGGTCATCTGCAGCACCGGGCCAGACACTCACTCACCCATTCACCCACCCACTCACCAATTCACCCGCTCATCCACTTACTCACTGACCCACTGACCCACCCATTCACTCACCCACTGAGCCACCCACCCACCCACCCGCTCGCTCGCTCACCCATTCACTCACCCACCCCCCCACCCATTCACTCACCCACTGACCCACCCATTCACTCACCCACTGAGCCACCCACCCACCCACCCGCTCGCTCGCTCACCCATTCACTCACCAACCCCCCCCACCGAAACACACGTCACAGGTCGCTGCGTCACCTCGCCGCCACTCACCGAAGACATCTGGTTGATGCTATCGATGTAGTAGTCTGGCCAACTCGTGGCCGAGCGGTTCGGATCCTCCTCCTGAAGCAACAGCACCACCAGCATCATCATCAGCAACATCGTCAGCATCACCGTCAGCATCGGAAGCACCGTCATTAGCGTCATATCAGCAACATCATCATGATCAGCAACAGCGTCAGCATCAACATTTGTATCTGTGTGCATGTGTGGGGAGCAGCAGCGGAATGGTTATCGCTCTGCGCTACGAACCCAGCGACCAGAGTTCGATTCCCGCTTACGGATGACACCGGTGACGAAAATCCGAGCCGTTTGTGCGCGTCTCCCCTCGGATGCTGACTACGCACTGCACCAGGTACACACCGCACAAGGTACTCAAATGGTTACCTGGTGCGGTGTGTCATAAACATCATCACTGGGGAGACAAAGGCGACTGTGCATGCGTGGTGCTGGCCACGCACCCCCTCGTGTGCCGCGCCGGCCTTCAAAGGATGCTTTTTAACACGTTGGCTTTCGCGACCAATGTTACCCATCAGCGTGTGTTCTTTGGTTAGATCGCGGAAATACAAACGTGCTCTTACACCCACCACCCGGCATAGCCAATTAGCCAGTTTTCTCACAGTAAACACAAACATGCCAATTAGTCACTAGTTCAGTACACTAGTATGTTGTAGAGTAAACCCACGACATTTACAATTCGAGGACGATGTTTCGCCGGTAATTACAAGCAGCCTCATCATAGGCGCTACTCGCTAACGGCCACTTGCCTCTGCAGTCTGTTAATTCTACACGGGGGATCTTTGCGTATGTGTGTGTGTTTGTGCGTGCGTGTGTGTCTGTGTGTGTGTCTGTGTGTGGGGAGCGGTAGTGTAGCGGTTAGCGCGCTGCGCTATGAATCTGGCGACCCGGGTTCGATTCCCGCTCACGGCCAACACCAGTGACGATTATCTGAACCGGTCCCGGGCATCCCCTAGGTCGACTCAGCCTCAAATGAGTACCTGGTGTGGTGTGTAAACATTGCCACTAGGGAGACAAAGGCGAACGGGCGTGGTGCTGGCCACCCACCCCCTTGTGTACCGTTCCGGCCTTCATAGGTGCTCGCTAACAGCACTTGCCCCTACAGTCTGTTAAGGCTATATGGGGGATCTTTGTGTCTGTGCGTGTCTGTGTGTTTATGTGTTTGTGTGTGCGTGTCTGTGTGTTTATGTGTTTGTCTGTGTGCCTGTGTGTATGTGTTTATGTGTGCGTGTCTATGTGTGCCTGTGTGTGCCTGTGTGCCTGTCTGTGTGTGTGTGTCTGTGTGTCTGTGTCTGTGTGTGTGTGTCTGTGTGTTTATGTGTGCGTGTTTATGTGTGCGTGTCTATGTGTTTGTGTGTGCCTGTGTGCGTGTCTGTGTGTCTGTGTGTGTGTCTGTGTGTGTGTCTGTGTGTGTCTGTGTGTTTATGTGTGCGTGCAGCTGTCAGCTGGCGTGGCTCCACGCGTGACAATGTGGATTGACTGGATACTAAAACTCGTTGTTATTCTTCTGTGATTTACCTTTTAACTCGCAGGGTAGCGTCCGACAACAATGCGCTCATCCTCAAAACAACTTCCCACACACACCTACCACCACATATCTACACCGCGTCACGCGTCCCAGACACCAAAGCACACACACACACACGTCACCGTCCTACACCTACCACACCCAACCTGCGTCGGGTGTGGTAGGTGTAACTGCGATTAGCACGGTCGGCAACGTACGGTGCAAAAGAAGTTCACCGTACATACGTACGTCTCACCCACGCTGGGTTCAACAACCACACTGCAGGTCACAACAACAACACATATAAAGACAAAGACGCCCCCGTGTAGCCTTCACAGACTTTTGGGGCAAGTGCTGTTGGTGAGCACCGATGAAGGCCGGCACGGCACATGCAGGGCTGAGTGGCCAACACCACGCCCGGCCGCCTTTGTCTCCCCAGTGGCGATGCTTATACACCGCACCAGGTACTCATTTGAGGCGACCTCGGGTTCGCCAGGTTCGTAGCGCAAACCAATACACTACCCACAAAACAACAACACTCACACACCCCCACTCAGTCACCTACACCCTCACTCACTACACTGCAGGTCACCCCACTTCTCTCTCCACTTCCTCCACTGCTCCACTCTGGACTCCCCTCTCCCATCATCATCATCATCGTCGTCATCTCTTCTTCCCAAGCTCTCACAACAACAGTTGACCTCACTCAATTCAAGAAACACGGCACACTCTCCTTATCTATTCCAACGTTGATAACAGTGCTGATCGTTGCTGGCCGCTTTGATGCGCCGGGGCCACGATTTAAACAAATATGTAATTTGCTAACACGTCGCATGTCAGGACCTACCACATACCAGGTCACTGCCCCCCACCCCCCACCCGCATGCCACGTTACGCACCAATTCCAGGCAGGAACCCCACGTCCACCTGTGGGCACGCGCCCCCAGCCAGTCAATAACTAAATAGCCCCCAGCCAGTCAATAACTAAATATCCCCCAGCCAGTCAATAACTAAATAGCCCCCAGCCAGTCAATAACTAAATAGCCCCCAGCCAGTCAATAACTAAATAGCCCCCAGCCAGTCAATAACTAAATAGCCCCCAGCCAGTCAATAACTAAATAGCCCCCAGCCAGTCAATAACTAAATAGCCCCCAGCCAGTCAATAACTAAATAGCCCCCAGCCAGTCAATAACTAAATAGCCCCCAGCCAGTCAATAACTAAATAGCCCCCAGCCAGTCAATAACTAAATAGCCCCCAGCCAGTCAATAACTAAATATCCCCCAGCCAGTCAATAACTAAATATCCCCCAGCCAGTCAATAACTAAATAGCCCCCAGCCAGTCAATAACTAAATAGCCCCCAGCCAGTCAATAACGAAATAGCCCCCAGCCAGTCAATAACTAAATAGCCCCTAGCCAGTCAATAACTAAATAGCCCCCAGCCAGTCAATAACTAAATAGCCTCCAGCCAGTCAATAACTAAATAGCCCACAGCCAGTCAATAACTAAATAGCCCCCAGCCAGTCAATAACTAAATAGCCCCCAGCCAGTCAATAACTAATAGCCCCCAGCCAGTCAATAACTAAATAGCCCCCAGCCAGTCAATAACTAAATAGCCCCCAGCCAGTCAATAACTAAATAGCCCCCAGCCAGTCAATAACTAAATAGCCCCCAGCCAGTCAATAACTAAATAGCCCCCAGCCAGTCAATAACTAAATATCCCCCAGCCAGTCAATAACTAAATATCCCCCAGCCAGTCAATAACTAAATAGCCCCCAGCCAGTCAATAACGAAATAGCCCCCAGCCAGTCAATAACTAAATAGCCCCTAGCCAGTCAATAACTAAATAGCCCCTAGCCAGTCAATAACTAAATAGCCCCCAGCCAGTCAATAACTAAATAGCCCCTAGCCAGTCAATAACTAAATAGCCCCCAGCCAGTCAATAACTAAATAGGCCCCAGCCAGTCAATAACTAAATAGCCCCCAGCCAGTCAATAACTAAATAGCCCCCAGCCAGTCAATAACTAAATATCCCCCAGCCAGTCAATAACTAAATAGCCCCCAGCCAGTCAATAACTAAATAGCCCCCAGCCAGTCAATAACTAAATAGCCCCCAGCCAGTCAATAACTAAATAGACCCCAGCCAGTCAATAATTAAATAGCCCCCAGCCAGTCAATAACTAAATAACACCCAGCCAGTCAATAACTAAATAGCCCCCAGCCAGTCAATAACTAAATAGGCCCCAGCCAGTCAATAACTAAATATCCCCAAGCCAGTCAATAACTAAATATCCCCCAGCCAGTCAATAACTAAATAGCCCCCAGCCAGTCAATAACTAAATAGCCCCCAGCCAGTCAATAACTAAATAGCCCACAGCCAGTCAATAACTAAATAGCCCCCAGCCAGTCAATAACTAAATAGCCCACAGCCAGTCAATAACTAAATAGCCCCCAGCCAGTCAATAACTAAATAGCCCCCAGCCAGTCAATAACTAAATAGCCCCCAGCCAGTCAATAACTAAATAGCCCACAGCCAGTCAATAAATAAATAGCCCCCAGCCAGTCAATAACTAAATAGGCCCCAGCCAGTCAATAACTAAATAGGCCCCAGCCAGTCAATAACTAAATAGCCCCCAGCCAGTCAATAACTAAATAGGCCACACTCCCTACCCGCCAGGTGCTGCCGCACGCAGGCCACAATTACACCGCGTGGGCCACGGGGGAGCTCGTTTGACCATACTTCACCATTCCGGTCGGCGCAGGTTTCGTGAAGTGGGTGGGGCCACTCGCCGACGTTAGCCGTGGCAGGGAATGGAATTTGAGAAAACCGGGTTCACGGAGCAACGCGCTAACCACTGCACCGCATTCCTGGGTTTAATCCCAGATTAATCCCAATGGATCCTCGACCACACCCGTATATTCCCCCTCTGCCCCCCACCGCACCCCCACCCCTCCTCCCCCAGCGGACACCAACTCAAAACAATTATGAAGTTTGGCCGGACATCGCTAATCACCCTAATAGCCCTTATTAACAACTGGTTAGCTTCGCAGCGTCCCGGAAAGGCCACGGCGAGCCTCAAGGCTCCTCTCGCGGGAGGGTTCTCCACCGTGACGTTGGGCACGAGCTCTCTCCGAGCGCTCTACTCCAGGACGGAACCCCGTGGAGTGCCCGGAGAGAACCGACACTCGCGAGGAGATAGCGCCTCCGGAGAGTCGCAGACTCCTGGCTGCACGCCGCTCCAGTCACCACAACGCACCTGCAAGGGAGACCCTTACAACTGCGACTGCCCCGTGGCTGCCCCCTACGTGTGTCTACTCCTCGGTGTGGCTGCCCCCTGTGTGCGTCTACTCCTCGGTGTGGCTGCCCCCTGTGTGTGTCTACTCCTCGGTGTGGCTGCCCCCTGTGTGTGTCTACTCCTCGGTGTGGCTGCCCCCTGTGTGTGTCTACTCCTCGGTGTGGCTGCCCCCTGTGTGTGTCTACTCCTCGGTGTGGCTGCCCCCTGTGTGTGTCTACTCCTCGGTGTGGCTGCCCCCTGCGTGTGTCTACTCCTGCGTGTGGCTGCCCCCTGTGTGTGTCTACTCCTCAGTGTGGCTACCCCCTGTGTGTGTCTACTCCTCGGTGTGGCTGCCCCCTGTGTGTGTCTACTCCTCGGTGTGGCTGCCCCCTGTGTGTGTCTACTCCTCGGTGTGGCTGCCCCCTGCGTGTGTCTACTCCTGCGTGTGGCTGCCCCCTGTGTGTGTCTACTCCTCGGTGTGGCTGCCCCCTGTGTGTGTCTACTCCTGCGTGTGGCTGCCCCCTGTGTGTGTCTACTCCTCGGTGTGGCTGCCCCCTGTGTGTGTCTACTCCTCGGGGTGGCTGCCCCCTGTGTGTGTCTACTCCTCGGTGTGGCTGCCCCCTGTGTGTGTCTACTCCTCGGTGTGGCTGCCCCCTGTGTGTGTCTACTCCTCAGTGTGGCTGCCCCCTGTGTGTGTCTACTCCTCGGTGTGGCTGCCCCCTGTGTGTGTCTACTCCTGCGTGTGGCTGCCCCCTACGGGGCTGCCATCCTCACGTGGGGCTGCCACCATCCCCAGTGTGGCTGTCCCCCGCTTCCTCCCCCCCCGTATGACTGCCCCCCCCCCCCCCCCACAATGTGGCTGCCCTCCACCTCTCTACGTGTGACTGCCATCCCAGTGAGGCTGCCCACTATGTGGATGTCCCCCCCCCCCCACCACCCACCTTCTTGCTGCAGTAGAGTTGCCACTTCTTCTCGTCGGGCAGAGCGAACATGTCCGCGCGGTTCTTCTCGGGGAGATCCAACTCGTCCTGCAGAGGTGGGGCAGAGCTCGTGTGAGACTCACACAGAGACGCGCATCAGACACGCATGCATAGGCACACGCTCACACAACACGCACAGAGACACACGCACGCAGATAGACACGCACGTACATAGGCACAAGCTCACACAAACACGCACAGAGACACACGCACGTAGATAGACACGCACGTACATAGGCACACGCTCACACAAACACGCACAGAGACACACGCACGCAGATAGACACGCACGTACATAGACACACGCATGCACAGACACACGTATATAGAAAAAACAAGCAAATACAAAGATCCCCCATATAGCCTTAACCGATTTTTGGGGCAAGTACTATTAGCGAACACTTATGAAGGCCGGAACGGCACACGAGGTGGCGGGTGAGCAACACCACGCCTGGCTGCCTTTGTATTCCTCGTGGCGATGTTTACACGATGCACCAGGTACTCATTTGAGGCTGAATCAACCTAGAGGAGTCTGAGGACCGGTTCTGATAATCGTCACTGGTGTTGGCCATGAGCGGGAATCGAACTCGGGTCACCGGGTTCATAGCGCAGCGTAGCGCTAACCGCTACGCTCCCGCTCCACACCTGCACGGGAACACACGGCGAGACACACAAAGGTGCACGAACAGAGACACGCACCTACACGTAGACACACAGGCACGCACACTCTTGAGTCAAGCGTCGCTAGCGCGCACCTATCAAGGACTACACACGCACGCACACCGAATTGGGGGGGGCGGGGGTGGGGGGCACGCACCACCAGCTCCGCGAAGAGCGCCTGCAGCTCCTCGTGGGGGGGCATGGGCGCCTGGGGCCACTGCGGAGGGGTGGCGGCCCCCCCCGGGCTCTGCACGGCGTGTGTGATCTGCTGCGAGCCGTGGTGGCCCAGACCCAGCGTGCGCAGCAGCCGGCTCTGCCTCTTCTTCTTGCCCGCCATCCTCCTCCTCCTCCTCGTCACTCTCCTCCTCCTCGCTCTGCCGCCGCTGCCGCCGCCGCTCTCTCCTCCTCACGAGCCGCGCCCGCTGCTCATGGCCCCCCTGGCGGAGTGGAGAAACGGAGAGGAAGGGGAGGGGGGAGCTCAGGGGGCAGTGGAGGGGGAGGGAGCGAGGACCCTGGAGGGGTTCGTGACGGGAAACGCGAACCCCGCTCTCTGTCTTCTCTGCACGGGGACTCGGGGACGTGGGGGGCGGGGGCAGAGAGGGGGGGGGCCCCCTCCCTCCCCCCGCAATTTCCGCAGGGGATGGAGGCGACGGGAAATGGCTTCGGCTCTTCCTGCTCACTGTGTCACTACTCACTGTGTCACTACTCACTGTGTCACTACTCACTGTGTCACTACTCACTGTGTCAACCACCGTGTCATTACTCACTTTGTCAATCCCTGTGGTGTCACTCCTCACCGCGCACTGTGTTACCGCCTTGCTCCATTGCCACTCGCCGCGCCACTCGCCGCGCCACTCGCCTCTTCGTACAGGCGACTCAACATTTGTGCCAAATGTCAACCCTCTGGCGCTTGTAGCAGCAGAGCCATTGCAGTTTGCAGCGGCTCCACTTCCCGCCGTGCGATGCCTCCAACACAACCCCCCCCCCCCCTCGTGTCCCGCGGCCGCAGCTCCCGCATCGACAACGTCCTCCCACCTTCCGTTAGCGTCAGGAGACGGACGGGACGGCCTACGCCAGTGGTTCTCAACCGGGGGTACGCGGACCCATGGGGGGCGGGCGGGGGGGGGGTGTAACGTGGCAATGTCCCCCAGGGGGCAACGCGAGGTGCTTTATCAATGTGTGAAATGTTATCGTACGTGAATAATCACGTATGAAACTGCCAGCATAAAATAACTACGATAACATTTAAATCCATATGGTAACCTAGAACCGCAACAAGTAATTGGTTTAACTCACTGATGGTAAGCAACGCGGTTTACAAGAGTAGCCGTTCGAGTGCGCACAAATGGCGTCACGCACGCAGAGCGTCCCGTTGAGTTGTTACTAGCTAGTTGGGATACCTCAAAAAATGGACAATTGGTTCAAACATCGATTTAACACGTTCATTATTCATGCTTTTATTTATCAGAAGCAAGCCGGGGGGTGGGGGGGGGGGTTACTCGGTTGAAACAAAATACAAGAAAGAGAGGTACAGTAGCAGCCAAACAAGTTTGAGAACCACTGGCCTACACAATGACCTGGTAAACATGCCAACCTGGGCCCAACTGCATGCCCACGTTGCACGTGACTGGTGCCTCGATGTAGATTGATGGCGGGTGGGGGAGACGGGGGAGAAAACTAGAATTAGAATGTCGTCTATCGCGATCGTGTCCCACTACTCCGCCCAGCTGTGTTTGTGGGGGGCATCTCCATCCCTCTACGCGCATCATCACCATCATCACCACCATCGCCGCCACCACCATCATCATCATCATCAACCCCACCACCGCCATCATCACCACCATCACCACCATCATTATCAACCCCACCACCGCCATCATCAACACCATCATCATCATCATCAACAACAACCACCACTCGTCACCACGGTGCTTGTGCCAGGCTATGTGCACGTTAAGGCCACGTAAAGCGTCGAACACCCGCTGGTAAGTCACGGGTCAGAACCAGTCATCAGCAAGTCCACTAACCAGTCATCAGCAAGTCCACTAAGCTCCACGTCCTCCTGTACCACATCACTCTATCTCTTCTCTAGCCCGTGGCCACACCTGTTTAGTCCCCTTTATCTGGCCGAACAAAAGCTGTTTAGGCAAGCGGTGGCTGAGCATGCGGGCTACATGACCCAGCCATCGCAGCCCTGCCTGCCGGAGGAGTTCACCGATGGGACCGTCTCCAGATCTTTCAAGGATTTGTGAGTTCCTCACACAATCCAGCCTGGTTAAACCCAGGATGGATCGTAGGCAGGCCAGCTTAAATGTTTCTCACAGGCAAAGATGTTCCATTCAGGGGGTCCACGTTTTGCAAGCATAGAAAAGGGAGGGGATGACCGTGGCCGAGAAGACCCGACGCTTCATGTGGAGGGGCAGACCAGGTAGCTGCCACAAGCGTTACACAGCCGATGTGTAGTGGAGTAGAAGATACACAGGGGTAAATTGGCCATATACAGTACATACAAAGAGTGTGGGTCATGTAAGGTCGGGCAGGTGGTGAACTCACGGGTGGCGTAAGCAAGCCAAAGTAATTAAGGGAGTCAAGGCACGAGGGCTGTGATTGGTCGAGAGGCTGTTAGCGTTAAGTGGCGGCGTCACGAAGTCTGGGCCGTTGGACAGGTGCGGAGCTGGCGGAAAAATGCCAGCGAGGCACGTGGCAATTAATTAAGGCTGATTGGAAAGGGGATAAAACGCTAGGTGATTTGGACGGCGAGGGGAGTTGTTGGCGAGAAGTGGAGACAGCAGCGGGTAGAGAGAGATGTGAAGAGGGGAGCCGGCAAGTGTTAGTGAGAAATAGATTGAGAGCCTAACCCAGAGGACAATAAATAGCGATAGCGAGAGTTAGCGTTAGCAGAGTGGAGATTACGGTATAGGTAGGTACAGGGAGAGTTAGCGATAGACAAGTCACTGTGTGTGAAGAGATAGACGAGTCACTGTGTGTGAGGAGATAGACGAGTCACTGTGTGTGAGGAGATAGACAAGTCACTGTGTGTGAAGAGATAGACAAGTCACTGCGTGTGAAGTTATAGACAGTCACTGTGTGTGAAGAGATAGACGAGTCACTGCGTGTGAAGAGATAGACGAGTCACTGTGTGTGAGGAGATAGACAGAGTCACTGCGTGTGAAGAGATAGACGGGTCACTGTGTGTGAAGAGATAGCCGGGTCACTGTGTGTGAAGAGATAGACGAGTCACTGTGTGTGAGGAGATAGACAGAGTCACTGCGTGTGAAGAGATAGACGAGTCACTGTGTGTGAGGAGATAGAGATAGAACCACTGTGTGTGCGGGCAGTGAAGAAGAGACTGTGTGGGGAGACAAGGAGTATGAGCGGACGGTGCTGAGGGGAATTCGAGTGTTCGAGTTGGCGGAGCGCGGAGAGGAGAAATTATAGTGTGTGTGTGTGAAATTATAGTGTGTGTGTGTGTGAAATTATAGTGTGTGTGTGTGAAATTATAGTGTGTGTGTGTGTGTGTGAAATTATATAGTGTGTGTGTGAAATTATATAGTGTGTGTGTGTGTGAAATTATATAGTGTGTGTGTGTGAAATTATATAGTGTGTGTGTGTGAAATTATATAGTGTGTGTGTGAAATTATATAGTGTGTGTGTGAAATTATATAGTGTGTGTGTGTGAAATTATAGTGTGTGTGTGTGTGAAATTATATAGTGTGTGTGTGTGTGAAATTATATAGTGTGTGTGTGTGAAATTATATAGTGTGTGTGTGTGAAACTATATAGTGTGTGTGTGCGGAACGATGGAAATAACAGTGACGGAGGAAGAAAGGAGATTGTCGTCCGAGTGAATCCAAGGCACTACAGATGTCAAGAGAATGCCACTCGACTGAGACCTCTGCTGTCAAACCGGGAGTGAATCCAAGGCACTACAGATGTCAAGAGAATGCCACTCGACTGAGACCTCTGCTGTCAAACCGGGAGTGAATCCAAGGCACTACAGATGTCAAGAGAATGCCACTCGACTGAGACCTCTGCTGTCAAACCGGAGCCAGTCATGAGCACACTGTCCAGGCATGGAAAATTCTCCAAACCATTATCACCACCACAAAGCAACATCAACACCACCATCACCACCACCACCCTCATCATCACCACCCTGAGCGTCCCGTCTCTAGGCGGCACGCCCTTGCAGAGAATCCACACCGACACCGCACGTCCCCAGACATAAATACCATACACTCATACCTGATGTGATCTATATATAGACAGAGGTGCCCCCGTGTAGCCTTTAACACGCTGCTGGGCCAAGTGCTGTTACCGGGTACCTGTGAAGGTCAGAATGGCGCACAAGGGGGGGACGTTGTGGCAAGGACCACTCCCGGCTCTCTTTATCTCCCCAGTGCTGATGTTGATTTTTTTTACACATCCCACCCGGATATTCATTCAAGGCTGAGTGTACGTAGAAGAGGTCCAGCACCGATTCTGATATCTCTCACCATGACCGGGACTCGAACCCAGGTTGCCGGGGTTCATAACGCTGTGCTCTAAAAGGCCCCTTCCACTCATGGCCACTGCTGTGCGTGTTAATCCTAATTGAGCCATTCGCGGTGTCATTCTGAAATGTTGGGACCCTAACGCCGACACGACGGCCTCCTCCTGCGAATGACGTCACGGGATCTCCTAACCTCGACCGCGAGTGGAAGCAGACGGCACGGAGTATTCCCTCTTTTGGTTCTTCCCCACCGCAAGCAACACCCGCGGCGACCGTTGGATTCCAGCCGCGAACCTCTGCAACAAGAAGTGGCCAACGGCTCTTCCGCTCGGCCGCGCCGCTGGGGACACAAAAGCGGCCGGGCGTGATCCTGGTCACAACCACCCTTGATAGGTGCTCGCTAACAACACTCGTCCCCCGCCACTCTGCGCGTGTGTGTGTGCGACAGAGAGAGGGCCGTGCGCTGGCGTGAGTCGAATCACAAGCCACTGCCAAGCAGAAGATGACGGCGGCCGGCTTGGGGAGGGCCTTCATCCAGCAGTGGATAGACCACGTGCGATGATGATTCTCGGGCGGACGTGATGCTCTCTCCCGAGTGGGTGTGTGTTCTTCCCCGCGGCCTTGCGGACCCCCCCCCCCGCCTGCCGTCATTCGCAACGGCCCCGTTTTTGAACGTCAGACATTGCCTGCGGTTGGGCGAGTCGGGCCCAGGTCCCCCCTCACATCCCGGCAGCCAAGCGGGGTCGCGCCTGCACAGTGCCCTGGCTTGTGGCCATGCGACCCAAACCGCGGAGCATGGATTCAAGAGCGAACCGCTGTTGAATCCTCGCGCTCCTTCAACGGACGAGGAACAGCAACAAAAAACCACACGGACCCTGTGTCCTCGATCTGCGCTGGAGCCCACTCGTCGTGGCCAGCAAGAATAATGCCTGGACAGGCAACCAC